CACACAACCAGCACACAGATACACTGAATAGTAAAATGTAAGTTTTGCTTCCTGTAAACGGGTAAACAAAGTCCAACGAACAGTATAAATCATGCGCGGTTAAAGCAGCTAGTGTTCAAAATAATCAGTCCAGGGATAATCAAAAAACAAAGTCCTTTTCTTTACCAGTATCATAAACAAAGTTCAGTAAATGGAGTTTGCGAATAGTTGCAAGAATCATAGCAATTCAAGCAGAATGACAATCAGGCAAAAGGCAAAAGGAAAGCAAAGGAATGCAAAAAAAGAACAAACCAGGTTTCTAGCTCCATCTTATGGCTGTTGGAGGAACCTCAGCCAATCACTATTACAACATTCTCTTAAAGAGACAACAGTATTAAATGATTATCTTGGTTTATACATTGCCAACCCAACTGTTAGGTGACTATCATTCCTAACACAGCCCATCTTAATTTGTGTAATGCCTAAGATTTCAATTTCCGGTCGTTTGATTTCATTTTTCACTGTGTTAAATTTTTCTGTATTCCAGCTTCTTATCTTCCATGTTCCTACTGCAATTCTATCTTTGCAGCTAGGGCAAAGACCTAAATCTAGCCACGTCATGGACACTATTAGTACTCCAAAAGTTCCTCAGCTTTTCCTCATTAGCATGCTGACTGCCATTCACCTGAGAAGTCTATTATCATCCATTGTTTTATATTTGTTATCCATGTAGTTTACTTGTTAAAAAAATTCAGGAATGGTTTACCATTGACTTCTGCAAAATATGAATTGATACCCTTGCCATTAGCACTAAAGTGACCATCTACGTCCTTCATCTTCCTATATTGCTAGTGCCCAATATAAGTGTTTGCTTACTTGGGGGACTCTGCTGGGAATATATTCTCTTGACATACTCCTTAACGTTCTTCATTCACCCTTCTCAGTAACATCACCCCACCATGATCAGATAGCACAGCGGGACCTGGGGTGGGTGGGAGGCTCAGATTCTTGAACAAAAGATGTTTCTGAGTTTTTGTTAGTGAGCTGAGGAAAACAGTTCACTGGACCTCCCTTCCTTGATTTATCTCATCCAAATGTATCCGAAAGCAAATGTACTGGCCTATTATTCCCACAACTGCCATAGACTGCGTGACTTACACATTATTCATTACAGACTGCTCTTAATAGGAGAGCTAAGAGACAATTATTTATGCTGTGCAATTGAACCATGACAAGCAGGAGAGCAAGAGAACAGACAAAAATATTGTTGCTAACCTGGGAGGGAGCTAGTACACCCAAAACAAAAGCCATAACAGAAATGAAGGAAAAGCTGAGTGTGTGATGGGAGCCATACTGAATCAGGAGCAGGAAATTTGACAGAAGATAAAATGCAAGCTGAAATAACATATAAGTAGGTACTGCGAATTAGGGATGTGATTGTGATTGCGGCCTGGAATTCAAAAGCAAAGCTGCAGGAAGCCCATTGCCATGGCCTCTCTAAAGGATCTTCAAGGCAGAAGTATTTCTTAGAGCCTGTTTTGCTCCAGCCTCAACTTTACATTTTTTAAAAAACACTCTGAATTTGATTGCTATTTGATAGCAGTTTTCTTTCTTAAGCACCCATCTTATATCTGGTTGGATTATGGTCATTTGTAAGATACTTCATTGGTAGTGAAGATACCTAGAGTCAGGACCTAGTATCATTGTCATCCGTTGGAGAACTTCTCATATTTCCCCATTGTCTTTTTTTCCTATTTCATGGACGATTAAATAATTTACATTAATAAACTAATATTGAAATACAAGTGTAGAAACATTTACTATTTTAACAGTGATGTAGTCCACCATTTGTCTAAGTTCAGCTGTTTCCATTTTTTTCCCCACAGACTTGTAGCATATACTCTGCTTGCTTTCACAGCTGTTGAAATGCTATGCATAAATATGGAAAACAAATCTGAAAAGAAAATAAAGCATCTTTTTGCTATACAGGATGAAGTTGAAGCTCACCAGGCAGTTTTGGTAACAATTGCTAAAAGACAACTAGCAGAGAAGTTTCAAAGACTTCAGACTTTTTTTTTCTTTTCTTTTTGTTTGGCAGCTATAATTGAACAATTTGAAATTGGAATAGTAGCCTGATACTGATCTGGTACCAATTCACCTTTATCTAAGTTGATGCTGGAGAACAACATATGGAATCTATCAATGAGATAAGTCACGATTGTCCAATCTTGAATGCAATATGGGAAAAATGTTATTGTGGCTGCTGTCCAAAATGACATTACTAAAGGTTATGAAAGCCATCATTAATGCTTCACCAAGTCATCCTTTTTGAGCTATATTATCAATTTTGCAGTGAGTTCTCAGTAATAGGCGTTCAGTTAAACTGTTATTTGATAATTGTCTCAAAACTTTTGAGAGGTTTATAATGGGATATTGAAACACACAAAAGGGAGGTTTATATATCGATCAGTTTCACCTAGAACAAGAGTCTTCAAACTTGGCAAGTTTAAGACTTTTTTGGATTTCAACTCCTAGAATTCCTGAGCTAACATGACTGGAGGGGTAATTCTGGGAGTTGAAGTCCACAAGTCTTAAAGCTGTCAAGTTTGAAGATCCCTGACCTAGAGGGAAAGGTCTCTTAATATTTCTTCCTACCTTAACCCCATTCAATTCAGTGAGAAGAAAGCAGGGTGAGAGGCTAATGCTACTGCTGTAATTGAAGTAGTTGACCTGTTTTCATGCATATCAAAAAGAAAAAGTAAAGTGGCAGAACACCTGTTTGATGTTGACAATAAAGTAGAATGTATATTTAAAAACAGAAAAGGGGAAGAGAATAATATGCTGTCAATTTTAAGACTTGTGTTAATTAAAGACAGCTAGTTGAGACCGATGGCAAGTCTCAGCAGCTTGCTTTAGAAGCAGAACACAGAGAAGGAACTCTGTATCAAACGATCTACTTAAACTATTAAGCAATATTGCTCCTTAACAAGGCAGCACAGGAAAATCCCTCAGAATAATCCCTCAGGATATGCAGATTTCAAAATGTATTAACAATTTAAATTACATTTTGAAAAAGCATAACAAAAGTATGATCAACAGAAAGTACAAAAGTTGCACATTTCTTTCCTTTTACAGCTATTAAATGTGTCAAACAAAGCCAGCAAAAGTTATCTGTAAGAGGGAAAAAAAGCATTAACTTCATTTGTTAGTGGTCACAAATAATACGTTACCAAAGAGAAAACAGGGAATGAATGTCTGAGGATGAAGCTGCTTCTCATATAAAACCTTAAATGCTTTATGAAAATAACATCAGGAGGACTGTCCAGCAAAATATCATTCCATTTATCAGCTGTAAAATTGTGCAATTCTAAAATTTTCTGACTATTCTGATCAGAAAAGAAAACTGACCAATTAAGTTACTGAAACAGCTACTGTGGTAACAAAACTCGAAACAATATACTAATATAACTTATTCATATTACCTTATAATTGTTCATATCACCCAATAAAAAGCACATGCCAAATAAAAAACCATTTTGTCACTTATATAAAGATTATTATTGCCTTGATCTTTTTCAAAATAGAAATAATCATTGTGCTATAAGAACTGGATTAATGTCTAACAATCAGATTCCAATATGTACAACAAAAGGCTGACATCTTTTAAAAAATGCTAACTTTATCCAAAGGGTGCAAATCATATTTTCTCATTCACAATATTCTCTGGTAGAAATTTTTACTGATATTTTATTGAACATCACCCCCTAGTGATCTACAAGAAGAATACACAACAAACATTTAATTATAAATTCTTTCAGTGGCCAATTGTTTTAAATTATATCTGAACCTAGCCCCATTTTTAAACTCCTGTGGTAGGGAAGTGGTCCATTTTCCAAAATGTTTAACAGTTGTGATGTAGCTTGAAAGATTTACTTTAATACTTGAGAGGCAATCTGGTGGATCTTGCTAACACTCAAAATAAGTATATTTTAGGTTAAAAAAGTAGAATAAAATCTTGTTTAAACACTCTTTTGTAAAATATATTTAATTGCTTATTCTGGTTTATATGTATTTTCCTACAGTGTTTAGAAAAGAGACATCAGAATGTTCATCCTCAAGACATATAGTACACAAGCAACACTGAGAAAGATTGCATGTATGAAATGGTCAAAGTTCATTATGGGTTCACATTAGGATAAGCCTTTCCATAGACACATTCTCCTGTGTGATGGTACCTGGGTGGACAATGTGCCACATACCACATTCATTCCAGAAGGAATTGCATCAAAACAACTTGCCTCTTTAAAGAGAGAATTATTTCTGGCTCTGAAAGGAAAAGCCAAAAGTCTTGATCATCTCTCCAAAAGCACGCATAATATTTCCTCTCTGGTGCAAGTGGATAGCACTTTTATGTCTGAATATTTCATATGTAAATTTGGGGATCAAATTTGGCTGTCAGAAGTTCTGCCTTCTACTGACTGTCTCTAATTTTGAACAAATAAAAAAACAGGTTCATGTACCGGATTGCAGATATTACTCTACATAAACTAGCTTGCCTGTATCAGTATGGAATCTGCTTTCATTCAGCTTAATAATGCTTCACTCTTTGCAGCACGTTTCCAACCAACCAACCAACCAACCAATCTTTCTTTTTTTCTTTCTCATATGGTCCATAGTTGCAGCTGTCGAAGCATCCTGTTTTGTGAACGATAACTTTATTAAATATAATAAGGTTATAAAAATAGAGCAAAAGCAGCTAATGCAGAAAGACAGGAGGAAAGGAGGGGCAGGTGGCTTAGAGCAGAGATGAAAACTTCTAATGTGGTTTTCCTGAGAAGTCTCGCTCAGAAACAGCTGCAGAATCTGATAGTATCCTTCAGGGCAGTTTCAGAGAGCCAGTTTCCTGCTTCCCAGACATCTGTATCACATTGTACCAATCAAATGAAAAACTAGGCATTAAACTATCATTTGACATCAAAATATCAGGCTTCCCCTGCCAACATGTTAAATTTACACCATGCTTTATCTACCAAAGATCATTTATTGTTCATTTCAATATATACATTTCTTATCCCCATTTTTATTTCTCTCCAAAGTAAAGCATCAGCTAGATTAAAAGATGAAACAGTCCAAATGGTTTATCAAAACTGGGACAGGCTGAGGGTAAGAGCTGATAATTTCCTCTTGTGCTCAGAAAGAGTACCATGAACCCAACCCAACTTTTCCAAAAATCTCCGTCCACTGGTGCTCGTTTCCTCAGTCAGTCAGAGCCTTCTTTATGCGTCTGAAAATGAGTTTCTCTTACTTCATTCTTTCCTAGTTATTGCTTGCAGGTATTTTAGTCGAATGGCAGGAAGCTCTTCATAAAGGTCAAACCCCCGTGGGTTCTCTTTATTTGCCCTCTTGTAATAGAGAAGATGTTTCTTTAATCCCTGAAAGAAGTAATAGACAATTAAGGCTGCATGGAAAAGAGAAACCACTTCCCCAGAAATATACAACATAACCTCAAAATTTCAATTAGGAAAAAAGGTGAAAAACGTAATACATGCTTTGTTGTTGAATCCAGTTCATACAATCCATACATTTGGCCATAGAAAATCTGCAGCTTATCAGTTCTACATCACCAGCAACACTGAGCTGTGGATAATTTTGCTATAGCTACAACTATTGATTCGCCATTAGACAACAGTATTAACATATTATTGATGATTAAAAATGAATTAAGTTCTAAGTATATTTTACATTAGTACTCCTTTTCTCCCATTGCATTTAGTAGATTTATCCTTCCACTGAAGAAATGGATCCATTGGGTTTGAGTTAAGCAAACCGTCACATATAAAAATAAAGGGTTCTGTCATTGGCTGTAAGAAAGTTTAGGAGGGCTTCTCTCATTCTGTAGCTCTAGTTCCCCTAAGAGTATTTTCCAGATAAGCCCTCCACCCCAATCTGTGGTTATACATCCCACGAAGATTTGTTTTGAAGTTGATAATCTGATGTAATACTGGAGTTGTAAAACTGATGCAAATAACTACCTCATTTTTTAAGACCCAGGTCTTCTGTAACATGTTTCTTCGAGCAACATCTATCTCCTGAAACAACATATAGAAAACATTAAATTTCAGATATTTTTGGTTTCTTTCTCAAGCAAAAGGACTCTTCAGTGGTCTCAAAGAATTAAAACAGTTTGAAGAGTTGATATTTCTAAATGCTGTGTACTAGCCCTTTTATTTTCCAGAAGAATTTAAAAAGAAGCATCTTGCTTCTGGGCTGTTCTTTCTAGATTAGTCTCTTAATATCTTGACTTTCTGTCAAGTATCCCTAACAACTGAGCCAACAGTCTACAATCATGATCTGTTCACTCCATATGTACTTGATGTTATAAATTCCAGATAATTTGCATTGTGGCATGGGAGAGAAAATCATACGTGAAATTGGTATCTTCTGCAACAACCAAAAGTGAGGCAAAGGATTTAGTTGTTTCTAGCTTGCATGAGACTGTGAGTTTTTGTTATGCAATTAGGATGCTACCTGAGGATAATGTATTGTAGCTTGCATTACTGAATGGCACTAAGAAATAAAAAGGGGGAAAAAGCCATACAAAATTTTCTTGGTGGAAAGCTTCTCTTTATTATGATTAATTCCCTTATTTCATTAAGGAACTATCAGTGAAAGCAAAACTCATTTATTGATTTATAATTTAAATTTTAAAAGGCTTTGAAGAATTAGTTCAATTACAAATGGCAGAAGGAAAATCTAATCTGCACTTGTATAAAGAACTAGCTAATCTGGGCAGCAAATATCAATGTATATAATTGCTTCAACAGAAGACCCTACAAAGATGCTGCAAACTATTTATTACATTTATAACCCAAATGGTAAATCCAGGTTGGAATACACTTATATGGAACACTCCAACTGCTAGTATTCCTACGCCACTGCTAAGACAGGATGAGTGTATGCAACTGGCTAATTAATCTGTTCTCAGACAAACTGTGAAAAGCTACCACATACCTGTGGGACATTTTCCTGGGAGAAAATGAAAGTGTTGACATGGGCCACTGCAACTACATAAAGTACGGGACACCAGTACTGTTGCAGGGTTCCTGTGACCAGGGCATGGAAGTATTGATTTAAGAGGTTGAGATTGTCTTCAGGAGGAGAAAGGTATCGCTCAAGAGGCAAAGGGAACTGCAAGGGAATCAAGAAAGCAGTATGTCTTTTTAAATACCAGTCTTGTTTGAGTGCATGTGCATGCGCGCACACGCACACACACACACACACACAAATCTTAACTTAATCCATAGTAATTAGAGGGGCAGATAAGAATAATCCAGAATGGAAATATTCACGGGTATTTGAAAGACGGAAGTGTCAATTCTGCCTTAGGTTAAAAATTAAGAATTGATTGTAATGTTCCATGCTACACTATGGCATAAGAAACAAATTCTTTCGTTCTTGTTACTGTTCTTCCTATTCTTCCCTTTGCTGCTCTATTCTCTACATTAACAAACTGTTCCCTGTCCCAGAGCTGTTAGAGGTTTATGAGATTATTTCTTTCTAAATGACTGGAGGAAGGGTCCACAACCATTCCTCCTTGTATCTCCAAGCTTTCCAGATCTCTGATATCCAGGATAACCCTCAAATGATTTGACTCAAAATGGAAAAGCTGCAGGAATAATTGGATTAGATACAAAGAGAACAGTCCAAATTACATTAAAGCCTAGAGTCAAATTTAGCAAATGCATCAAGTTTAGAGCCTACACATATGGAGGCCAATCATACTAGGGCATATAGTACAACAAAGAGCTGCTCCATTCATTTTTTTTATTTCCTTCATGTTCACTAGCAGAAACTGAGGGCATTCTACAGGTAGTCCTTGACTTACTAGAGTTTATTTACTGACCATTCGAAGTTACAGCAGCAATGAAAAAATGTGACTTATGACCATTTTTCATACTTATGGCCATTGCAGCATCCCCATGATCACATGATTTACATTTGGACACTTGACAATTGATTCATATTTATGATGGCTACATTGTCCCCAAGGTCATGTGATCACCTTTTGCAAACTTCCAACGGGCAAGGTCAATGGGGAAACCAGGTTCACCTTACTCATTCAACAACTGCAGTGATTCATCTAACAAAGGTGGCAAGAAAAGTCGTAAAACAGAGCAAAACTCACTTAACAAATCACTTAGCAATATAAATTCAACTGTGGTTTTAAGTCGAGGACCCCCTGTATTGGCTTGAGACTTAGACCAGACCGAACAGCCCTATAGTTGTTGTAAAAATATTAAGCTCTTCCTAATTTTGCAAACTGCTTCCATTTCACTGCACGTTTCCTTTCTCTCCATCAAACCCTTAACATTTTTATTTTGGGGAAGTGAGTGCTTGAGGTACCCCTGGAACATTAATTACTTTAAAATCTATTTGTTGCAAGAATATATTTGCTATGCCAGTACTTAGGAGTGCATATCATCTTCATTTCCATTTTCTCCCTTCTATGAAATAAATCTCTATGAGGTCGTCATAGGACTTGGCATTCTGCACACAAATGGGATTGTCACCAAGACCTTAAATCTTTGGGTAGAACGTCCAAAGAACATTCTTAATTCCCTTTAAGAAGTTCAAGGATCCTTTTAGTTCTGAACAGCTGACTCAACTATAAGTAGTCCTCGAATTACAACAGTTCGTTAGTGACCGTTCAAAGTTACAACGGCACTGAAAAAAGTGACTTACAACCATTTTTCATACTTATGACCATTGCAGCACTCCCATGGTCACATGACAAACTCCCCCTACCCATAATCATGTGATTATTATCACAAGATACTTGAAAACTAACTCACATTTATGACGGTTGCAGAGTCCCAGGGTCATGCAAATTCCCTTTTGCGGCCGTCTGACAAGCAAAATCAATGGGAAAGCCAAATTCGCTTAACAACTGTGTCACTAACTTAACAACTGCAGTGATTCACTTAGCAACTGTAGCAAGAAAGGTCGTAAAATGGGGCAAACCTCACTTAGCAAATGCCTCACTTAGCAACGTAAATGTTGGGCTCCGTTGTGGTGGTAGGTTGAGGATTACCTGTACAGTGGCTGAGCGATCTGCTCTCCTCTGTGAGACATACCTGTTGGAGTGGAACCCCCAGAGCTCTTAAGGTGTTCACATGCTCTCCAAAGACAGCCATCTTTAGCTGACTGCTGAAATGCCTCTGCAAAGGAAGAAGCACGAAGACTCCAAAGAGAGGATCTCCAAAGGAGACGCTTTCAAACTGTTCCAACAAGCTTATATAAAGGTCATGGAAAGAAGCTAAGCCAGGGAGAGGAGTGTCTAAATTCAAGGACTCAAAAACTTTGGACTGGCAGTAAAGGGAGAGCAGAGCTGCTGTATAGCAATGCACGGGGCCTTCCAGAAATAAGTCACTGCCTGTGAGGAACACACACATAAGCCTCGCCAGCTTAGCTGCTATTGGGATACCCTGAAGGATTTGGGGCCTCCAGGTCTCCAATAGGAGGATCCACTGTAGATTCTGAGTCACCACATTCACAAGGTCCAGAGGAAGAGGGCTTTCTGTGGCCCACTGGGTTTCTGCCCCAGTTGTTTTGTTATAAAGGCTGATAAGAGGAAGGAATAGCCAATCCGAAGGCAGGATAGGCCCGTTGACCTCAGGAAGCAGCATGGATCGAACAAGATGTGTTCGGCCTTGGTAAACATTTCTAGAATGAATAAGAGCTGGTTCCAAGTAGGCAAAATGAACGACAAAACAAGACTGTATCAGTGGAAGTTGTCGGTAAGCTTCTTCCAGTAAAGCACCATAACTAGGGAGTGAGGAAATGGGGGCTGTTAAGCTTAGCTGTAACAGCTTTGGCTTTGAATTCAAGTGCAGAAGATCTGAGAAGTCAGCAGCTTCTGGTCCTCCCACCTTGCCTTCACTGAAAAAAAGAGGGGGAGAGAACGGATGATAAATACAGAGGGTTTTTACTATATTCAAATATGCTCTATTTTAATTAACCGCACTATTACTGTATTTACAAATAAATCCCACTCTTCAGGTAACATTGCTAATAAGGCAACTGCCTTTTTCAAAATTGGCTTAACAGATACTGTTAACATGCTATAAAAGGGAAGGAGGAGTGTTTTTCCTCAAAAAAAATTTTCCTGTGAAATATGGAGGATTAACTAAAAACACAAAAATGAAAACGGATTGCTATCAATGCATATTGTGTTCAGCAAGAGCAATGAAACCCAGCTTGGCATCACTACACACCTCTCTGAGAATATAGGAATGAAAATAACAACACGACAGGGAAAGAAACATCAAGGCCTGATATGCTACTATACATACAAAGGGAGGAAGCAGCAGAGTTAGAAAAGCTAGCTAGCTAATTTGGTAATATAGGGAAAAGACAGGTCGACAGGCAGTAAAACAAAGGAATGGGAGCAGGCAGTAAGATTAGGGAAGCACCAAGAAGAAAAACAGGTTAGGGGTAGGAGGAAAAACCAGAAGCAGCAACAGAAGTTGGATCCTGTTGAATATGGAGGTGGACTTTGTTATCCAGATTCTGCCATTTATGGATTTCATTTGTCTGAATAACTGAACTTGAGACCTATGGCAAGCAGTTATGAGTATTGGCGGGTTTTGACGAGTTCCACCATTTTACACATGCCCAAACCTAGAGAAACTGGCATGATATACTCTGCAGATCTGGAGTCCTCTTATCTTATGTAGTCATTCTTTGAGTAAGCCCGTAGATAGGAGTTCTACCCCCATTTTGACAATTATCCAAGGTCTGTAAGGTTCTTGTCTTCTATGGACCTCCCCTTCCTGCATGCTATAGTATGTCCATTATAGAACGATAAACAGAACGATAAACAGAATGACAGAATGATAAACATTATTGGGGAGTCCTGCTAAGGAAAGTGGCAAAGGTATTCCCCCCAAATTGGCTGACCTTAAGCAAGAAGGTGAAACAGCTTATTGGCTTGCTATGTGTTCTTGGTATTTCTTTCATGGGGCTATTTATTATTTATGAAATTGATATAGCCACGCATCTCAACCAAGACAACACTGGACAGGGCACACCGATAAATAAATCAGCCAATATGAAACAGATAATGGCACTGTTGAGTCATTGTTCATGTCATAAGGAAAAGTTGAGTATTTACTCAGTGTGGTCTCTTGCACATCTCAGAAACTCAAGGTGGCATTTCATCCATGCAATCCTCACTTGGAATGGATGGGAAAGACCATCACCCTATAGACAGAGGACCAAACCCAGAACAACATGCCACTAAGCAGAGCAGAAATCCATGAAAAAGTACTGTGGTTATACAGAGGATTCGTAATGGAAAATGCTGAGTGATGTTTGCTGGCAAAAAGAGGCTGGCTTCAAAAATTCATTACACCCCCATAATCCAAACTGGCATCAAAAACCACATAAGTGGATCACAATATAATACAAAGATATCCAGCCCATCAGAGTTCTACTGGCTGATTAATTATGTAAAATACAGGCAAGAACAAATCTTCAATGCAGAGACCAGCCTGTTCTGGTAAGAGACACTCTTTCCTCAGCAAATCAAAAGAAACATTCCAGGTTTCAAGAACTACATAATAGCCAGACTGACAAAAGTTCAGGAGACTATTAGAGAAACAGCTGGGTGTAAGATTCTCTGTTAGCAGTGAAAAGACTCATCTACAGAACGGGTATTATAATGGTTTTTTTTTTTAAAGTCTTCATTCTATTGTATCTGGGGATATAATACCTATAAAGGGACAATTCTTCAATTGCTCAAATTGCTGGATGGAAATCCATTCTATCTACTTCCATAAATCTTGCCAAGGTAAATTTGGTAAGAATTTCTTTTGGAAGCACTGCTACTGAGGACCATATGATCCAGTATATGCTTCTCAATTCAAGTGTCTTGAAAAGAATAAAAACCAAATTTGTATATTGTACAGAATCAGAAGGCAAATGATACATTCTCTGGCTACTATCAGCAATTATTTCCTGGAAGAGATGCAGAAACATCATGCCTTCAAGACCCCTGGTCTTTATGTCTGCTGAGATTCTCAATCATCCAGATCATGGTTGTCCCAAAGGTGCTTTTTTCCAAAAGATATTTTTCTTGGGTTTTTTTTTTTTTTTTGGGGGGGGGGGGGGGAACGACAATGTTTCTCTTCTCATCCAAGAAGCTTCTTCAGTTCTGAGTATAATGTTTTCAAAGGAAAACAAAAACAAAACAAAGTCCAGTTGCCTTTTTGAAAAAACACCTTTGGCCTTTATTGTCCTCTGCTCCTTGTCAAAAGCCTTGGCCATCCTAGAGATCACTTTTTTGACACCCAACACCCCCTTCTTGATTTAACTAACGGACCAACATCTGGTAGTTACCTTCAATTCCTATTACAAGTGTCATTATACCTACCAGGAAGTTGGTTGTCATGGAAAACTATTCCTCTTTTTCAGTCAGCAATTGCTGGAGAAGCCACAGCATTAAAAATTGCACTGAAAACACTGATACCCCTTGGAGGGAATGACTCAAGGAAGTCAACTCTTCACTTGCTGCAAATGAATTATGGAACATTGTCAACTTTGCACATATATTAGCGAAGGCCTTGAAAATAGTTATATAAAATGCAGGGCCTTCTCCAATTCTATCTGGAGGAGCTGACAGTTCTCATCTAGACAGCTCCCGGGAGCAAAGTATCAGAAAAAAGGTATGCTTTATCAATTCTCTATGCCAAAAAATCTTCCTCTGAGATCTCATGGATGGAGAGTGGTTTGTGGGGGATGAGTGTGTGTGTGTGTGTATCAAGTGTTGGAGCCTGATTCCCTCCAATGTACTGCAGCAGCCTTGTTCAAGAGCAGCTGAGAGCTGCTTTGCAACTCAGTTAAGGATACTTTCAAGGCTCTGCAGAGCCAGACAAAGCAAAGCTTCAGAGCCAGCTACTTTGGAAATGCAGCTACACCCACCACTGCTGAGTCACCATCAGAAAGTGACACCTATACTTGGAGGAGGAGGAGGAGGGCACCACTGCTTCCCTATTTTGATTTTTTGTCACAGGCCTGGGACTCGAAAGAGATGGAATAAAAGAACTTCACTTTTTTTCTGGCTAGCTTGCTTTTGGTTTTTCTATAGACTAGAGATTGTAGGAAATTATTCTTTCTACTTTGAATTAAAAGGTTTTTTTAAAAAAAAAATTGAAAGAATAGGAGATTCAGCGGGTGGCCAAGGTACAGTAACAATATGCATTACTCATTTTATTTTTTATTTATATATTAGGTGATTCCGCCCCACTCCAAATTTTCCGGTGCTCCAAAAGTACTCTCTCCTCTCACTCCCAAAGTTTTTATATATTTTGTCTATAGTTGAACTCTGGACTTGTGAGTAACAAGGTCCATCTGTAGACACAAGATTCCTGTCAATAAGATAAGAAAGGCAGAAAAAGGAGAGGAGCAGGAAGAACTCAAATGTGCCTAAGCTTTAACTGTTCATGCAGGCACTCCGTTATTCAGGTCAGAGCATCTTAAAACAATGTACAAGCTGTGTGGAAGAGAGAGGCAGAAGAACTAAACAGAACATCAGCATAGTTATAAAGAATACCATATAATTTGATGGCATGCCCAATTTATTTTCAGCGCCTTTCATACACACCTACTTCCCCTGAACATGCATCTCCCATTTAAAGGTCCCACAGTATACAGTCACTGCAAGATCAATGCAAATTATATAAGCTCAATATGCACTTAACAGTTGTTAAGCCTGAAAAGAATAGAGGCAAATCTGAGAAGATTGAAGCAATTAGACCAGTAAGTTCTTTGGACTAAATTAAAATTCAGAAATCATCCAGTGGATCCTCAAAATAGTTTTGCCTTCAAAACAAAGAAGGACTATATACAGAATCACTGAATATTAATTGGAAGAGATGACCAAACAAGTAATTAAAGAAACAAAATTCTTATCCAAAAAATATATTATGATATCAACCAGGGCAGACAGATGGAAAATTATCAGAGACGGGAAATGACATTACAACTGCAGGTACCAGATGTAGTAAGGATAGACAGGCAATCGGACAAACGGACAGATATACTAGCACACAGATACAGTAATGAGCAAGCCCTTTAGGGACTTTTTGAAATTTCAATATTCGGTCGGGGGGAAGCTGAATTTAAAATCCATAGATGGAGCTGAAGATGATTTGTCTGAAAAGGTGAGAAAAATGAAGATAATAAAAAAAAGAACACAGCAGTAAGAACTAAGTGTATAGCCTTTTTTCGGTATAGCTTTTTTTGTAGAAAGCGCATCTTACATTCAAGCTTCCTTTAATAAACCTAATATAACTTGGCAAGGCCCATTTATTTGTAATATACCCATTGTCTCAAATTTTAGGCTTCATTATTAGCATTTTAAAAGGTGTTATTACTACTTTTAATATGGAAGACTGAGCTTCTTTTTTAACTTTAAGAAAGCATATTTTCCTCCTCCTTAGCCAAGACCATTTCTTTGGTACTTGATAACTTGCTTTTTCAGTATCTACACAATAGAGAGCACATTCGGAACGTACTTGAATATACTTGCAATTTTCAAGAAACATACAATCCCAACTGGGAAAGGGTTATGTAATCCACAAATTTACTACTTTCTGAAAGTTACTTAGAATCAATGTTTGCTATTATTCAAGACCCACATGTAATCGAAGTATTATTGTTGGATCATTTGCTTATTATGTCAAATGTAATGAATATATGGATCATTTGTTTCTGTACCCTATAAAATACCCCCCCCAATAAATGTTTTTGAATTTGTTTGAATTACTGGCGATTCATATTTTCAGGAGGCAAAGAAATCTCTTTGCGAAGGTAAACAGTTTTTTTTCCCAAATTTGGGAAATAGATTTTCCATACACATTTGGGATGCCTGAGTTTTGAGGCAACATATCCACTTTCCATAATCATAGGTGTCCAATTTACAGCCCAAGTCACTGAGAAATCAATCTTCTATCAACTTGCCTAATAAAATCCATCTCATCTTCAGCAAATGATTCATAAAGTGAGAATTTTCCAGTAGAGATTTGTGATGGGCAAATATTCTACCTTGCTTGATTCAAATATGGATCACTAGTGACAAGGGCTATTCAAAAAATGCAAAAATGTCTTCCTAAAGAATGAAATGTAAAGTGATGGTTATATAGTACTTATGATAACAGCCAATCCTGTTGACTTAGATTGTTATCCATTCCTAACAAAGACAACACACCCCCAGAGGGAAAAGTACTGTTTCAAATGTACATTTAATTACAAGAAAGCTCAGGAACCTCTTGGGTCAGCTTATAAAATTTTGCCAATTTATTTTTAAAATACTAAGACTTCAGAGAGAAAATGTATTTTTAAATGTATCATCATAAACCGTAAAAAATGAGTGTATGTGTATGCATACACACATAGAAACAGTTGTGGTGCAGTGGTTAGAATGCAGAATTGCAGGCTAACTCTGCCCACTGCCTGGAGTTTGATCCTGACCAACTCAACATTGACTCAGCCTTCCATCTTTCCAAGGTCAGTAAAATGTGGACTAAGACTCTTTGCGGGCAATATCTGAGATTTGTAAACTTCTCAGAAAGTGAGGTAAACAACTATGAACCGGTATATAAGTCTAAGTGCTTTTGCTACATAATCTTACATATATACATACATATATTTAAGAGAAGATGAGGAAAAGGAAAATAAAACTTACGGAATCAGTTGTGGATTAAAAGCAAAGCCCCTGAGTAGCTCATGAGCCAGGTACTCACTACCTGGCAACAAGCGACTTAATAATACCATGGCAACAGAGTGATGGAGTGAAGCATGTTGGTTGCAATCTGGACAAGCATCTGCCTGCATAGGAAGCAAAACAACAACAGAAAAGGTGAAAGTGTTGTTGCACTGACACAGAAGGAAATATGATAAGTTGAGACGTAGTCCCAATAATAGCCTGTTTTTATTTGCCGCAAATAAATCATGTTGTTGGAGGGGGGAAAAGGCCCAAAAGAAGATACTATATGACATTTGTAGAGAAACAAGTATTTCTTTATTAAAAGTGTGCAAAGCACAGCAAATAAGCAGGATTTGGCAGTGGCCATATGAGACACTGCCAAATATCCTCTTTGTATTTCAATCTGTATCTCTTTCACATGCACATAATGACTAAGCATGTACTTAATTTAAGAATATCTTTGTTTTCTTTCTAATGGACTGCTTTGTCTTATATCTGCTCTAGACTTTGCTACCTTCATTCAAATGGTGCTTGTACTCCTTTTCTTCTAAAATGGCATTACTTTTGTTAAATGCTCTAACAATCTGTTTGCTTCCGATACTTCTACATTGTCCTCAAATCAACCCAGAGACTTGGGTTTGTCAGACTTCCAGATTTGTCAGCCATTAGCGTATAGCTCACCCACACTTTTTCATCCTACAGTAGTTAATGAATTCACTGTACCAGGCTCCCAAACTCTCTGAAATGGAATGCATTTCAAAGGAGGGAGGAGAATCTAAATGCTTCCAGAATCATGAAGATTAAGAAGGTAGCATGGAATGGAAGAATATAAGATTTCATATCTTCATTTCTATTCCTTTAAAAAATGGAAAAGAACCAGGCAAGAGGCTGGAGAATGAAATGATCCAGTCAGCTACAAAAGTCACATCCAAGCCATCTTGCCCCACCCCACCCCACCCACTACGTTCTTCTGTCTTCTCCTCTGCAATTCTATAATTAACAGTTAAAAATAATGTAACAGAGGAAGTTGTGCCTGGTCAATATAATTTTAATAATATTATTTAATCCAGTATAGAAAATACCCAAGGAAAAACATTTGATCATATGTAGGCCAATGTAAGAAAAAGGAATCTAGGAAAAATTGATGAGTAAATTTGACCAAAATCAACTTACATTCCTCATCCTAATTCTGACCCTGGCATCTGGTGACACTATAATCAGTGGAACCCAAAGCGAGAAAGTACTATAAAATGTATGGTACTTTATGAATGTTGGAATTCATACATTCTTTGGTTAAGTCTTAGATAGACAAGTCTTGTAAACTGAGATGTGATAATACATGTATACATGTGAGCTGCATTCACTACCTGCTCCAATAAGGTACTGTCCATTCTTCTTAAAGTGCCCTTTTAATATAACATTCACAGTCAGTTGAATTGACTCTGAGTAATGATAGGGTGAAGACCTACCAGTGCCCCTAGATACTGTGCTATTTATTGACCCTATCTCAAAGATAACATGGGTAACATACTGAACTAGTAGGAAGTGATCAATAACAAGGTCACCCAGATGTACTTATCAGAAATATTCCAATATCATGATGTAATTTACAATGTGTCTGCCTTTTCCTTTTCCTTTGTAACGTAGTAGGCCAAAGGCCCATAAGTTGCGGTGTTGCTTCTCTTCAATGCACCTCAGCAAACAGCTAACACTTTGCTAAGAGCTCTGCATCCACTGTAGCTCAGTGTTTCTTAGCCTTGGCAACTTTAAGATGTATGGATTTCAAGTGACTGGGGAATTCTGGGAGTTCAAATCCACACATCTGAACAAGGCTAAAGTTGAGAAACACTGCTGTACTTGTTTGCATGCTTAATAAATGTATGTTGTATATGAAAAGTGATTTGATTGATTTAAGTGGTTCAGGTTTTTGGCCACAACAGATAGAAAAGCTGTAACAAAGACACTAAACAGACATCCCAGATATGTATGTATGACTATCTCTATAAATCTATCCCACACATACAAGCATCAGTAAAAAAAAAACAACCCTCAGATATACAGCATTATTTACTATGATTTTAGGACAAAATAATATAATTTCATGTTATCTGATTATATTTGATCAAACATATACTGGAACTATTTTAGCTAACTAAATTGTTCTATTCTCTTTCGTTCAAGTAGACCTGCAAAGCATTTTACTATACAAGACCTACCAGCAAAATGTATTCATGATTTTATTCTATAAATTCTAAACAACCTTTACAATGTTTTAATTCAGAAAAAAAACTTTTGCTTTAAAGGATGTATAGATAAATTCTTCTAAGACCTTAGGGCAGAGGCCTTCAAACCTGGCAACTTTAAGACTTGTGGACTTCAAGTTGAAGTTCACAAGTCTTAAAGTTGCCAAGTTTGGAAACCCCTGCCTTAGGGAAACAGAAATTCCAGAGAAGCTTGAGGGTGTACTCAAAAGCTTGTCTAGAAACTGGTAACTGGTTTAAGTAAAACATACAAGGGGTTTTTAAATATGTAGCAAATGGTCACAAACAATCCAGAATAATGGCTGATGCAAAGAACTTACCATTTTCTGAGCAAGTGAAAGTGCAACATATTGTAAATGGTATTCATGATGCAACAACCAAGCAGAGGAAGGAGTTAAAGAAAGAGGAACAGCTGTGCAACACTGAAGCAGGTAGTCCTTCAGACTCTTCATCTCTAAAATAGAAACATACTGGAGAAAAAAATAAAGCGATACATTTGAGATGATTATCAAATACCTGAACTAGAGACACTATATTTATTCTGCCATACAGAAATGGTGTTTGTACATCCACCAGCCCAGGTAATACGGAGCAATGTCTCTTTAACTCTGGACCATTTATAATTACTTTCTAGAAACAAATTGTGTATTTTATATATTTCCTCCTTAAATACATTTAATGCCAAAGCTTTGATTTGGTTCTGGCTTTGCTCTACTAAAATTTAACTCAAGATGCCTGAACCCAAGCAATCAATTATTGATATATTTCCTTCTAAATACACCATGTACACCAGTACAGGGGATATCAATGTTTATTTTGAGTTTATGAATATCGACTCTTCAAAAAAAAAAAAAAACCCAAGTCGACTCAAAGTAGCTGCAAGAAAAAGTTTAACTCAATTTATAGCCTTTGAATATAGAATGTAAATGTTGAACCATCAGCCATTGCTCTTTAGTGTGAACCCAAGAGGAAAATGGGAAGTAGTTTATATATACTTGACAAATGCTAATGCCTTGTTTTTTGAGTTGAAGAAGACGAAGACAATTCCCTTTTCTTTAATTGCCCATGCATCATTAAAATTGCTCCCCAAAACTTTAGAACTTACTTGGTTAACCAGCCCTTTATGTACATGGAGGATACTGTTCACAAGGACAAGGAAAGCAGTAAGAAAGGGAAACGGTGATTTAGAGCCTGCTAAACTCCCTGAAGTCTTATTTCTACTGCAGTTCAGAGAAACAATGCTAGGAACAGATTCTGGTCCTGGGGAACAGGATAATGGGTTGCACAAAGTAGAGCATGATCTACATAGAAAAAGATAGAAGAAATGAGTATTTATAGTGTACCCTAATTAACAGACAACCTAGTGCTACCTAGATTTTTGGGGAGTACTATTCTCCAGTCATCACGGTTCACAGTTAGGAACGACAGAACAGAGAAACTCATCTGAGGAGTACCAATTTATCTAGGCTATCCCGCAAATTGGTTCTACTGAGAAAAAATACCATCCTACTTTTTTAAAAAAATCCATGTAAACAGCAAATTTCTCCCAATCCTTTTGCTTTCCAAATACATACAACTCATCTATTATAAAATCTTGCTTGGAACTAAAATTAATACTCAAAGGGGTACAAATGAGTTAAGTCTTCCATAAACGACCCTCAATGAGACAGCGTATAGTTGTACATATAGGCAGGAATGAGTGTAAATTTAAGCTGCAACTCAATAGGATTTGCATTCAACAAAACACACAAAGGGATGCGGCATGTTCTTTTTCTGCAGTCACAGCACACGGTAATGTCTGTAGTGATCTAATATCTCAGACACGCTGGCCTATGACAGTAGTTTATCTAAGAAGAGCTCACCTGAGCATTTCCCAAAGGGCTTGCATGGCTGGCTGGCTGAGGAGTGGCAACAGCACTTGGGTTGTCAGGTGCTCCACTTCTTCTATGCAATCAACTGGGTTTACTACAGGCTATAGAGAAAATGGGAGGAAAGAAATCACTATTATTTCCTCTGCATGGATAATGTTTCCGAACACATTTGCGACTGGATGTTTTAAGAGGAGCGCAGGCTTCACTTATATGCCCACTGAGCTACAGGTTGACTAATTACACAGAAAGATACTAATTGAAACTCTGAAAGCCAATGAAGTCTGTTCCAAAGTTACTCCAAATCAGCCTTCAACTGATGATGGGTGTATCGGAGATACAACTTTCTGAATTTCCAATAAGCAAAGGAACTTGCAAGCTAGATCACAAGCTCCTGAGAAAAGACAGATAGGGATTTCTTGAGAGATCTGCAGAAGAGGGAAAAGGGGGGAATTCATTTGACACTGAAGGGACAAATTAGTTTTAATTCCAGATATAAATTCCTGCATTGAGCTTGGACTAAAAGATAGTTTTAAATGGGCAAAAGCACCATTTTATGTCAGTTTTTCAGGCAACTTTCAGATCTCTATTCCAGAGGTATCTGCAATTTGGGTGTTCTCCAATAATCAGTGTCTCTGCTTAAGCATTTAACAGAGTAATATCTGGTATACTTATAGCACTATTTGGGGCTTATGAAACTCCATGTGTGATCAGTCATGCCCTACTCATGTCCTGGTTAGATTACTATATCTAACCAGTACTCCATATATTCTACATGGGGCTGTCCTTGAAGAACATCTGGAAGCTGGAAAATGCAGCACTGGAGGCAATGACAGATAAACCCCAACATACCTGGGTGACACCATTGCTTTTTTGAGCTCTGTGGATTGCCGTTGGTTGCCACCTTTGAGGCCTGCATGGCTCTGTCCTGGTTTTTTGAATGAGACTTCTTCTTCTGGCATTTATCTACCTGTCTGACCAGATCTCACAGAGTTAACTATTTCCATGCTCCACCTCTGCAAGGCTGAAAGGACCTTAGAAGCACAAGAGGAGGTATTTTCTAATATATAGCTAAAGTATATTATGCTGCCTGGCATATAGATTTGGTGGGGGGGAGGGTGTTAATTCATTTGGTGGTGGGAAGGGATTAAATCATTTATTGTTAGTTGCCTAGAATGGGCATAGAGTGAGCAGCATAAAAGCATAACTAGGAAAGAAAATAAATAGTGAAGCAGATCTATCAAGCCTAAACTTTGCCCATTGCAATTCCTTTGATATTTCAGCCAGACTGATGCACCTCTTTCCTCCAGATGGAAGGAGAATCGTGGAACAAAAGAAACCCCAAAGACAACTGCAGACACAGAACTTCATTTCCTGAACTCTTACCTGTTGACTACAGTGTCTGTAATACATCCCCATATAGATGACATATGCCGTAGTAAGAGATTGCAGGGCTTGCCATCTGTCCACGTGGGTGATCGCTCTAAGGCAATTCTTCATGTTGGTTTCAATGATAGGCCTGAAACCTGCCACGTGTCTCCAGGTGATGGGTGGGGGTGGAATTTGACCACCTTCTTCTGGGCCACTCCTGCAACATAGCACAAACATGAAATAAAGACAATAACATGGGAATCGTTAAAGCTCATTACTTAAGATGGCCTCCTCCTACACGACTGCAGAAAAATATCTAGGAACCCAAGCAAGTGTATGAAGTTGTTTAACTTGCTGACCATTTTTACCATGGAAAAGGCTTGGAAAACTATTTTTTTGATACCCCTGCAATAGATCCTTCACTGAGCAGGGCATTTATAACTTCCCATACGATTATGCTTTATTTCATTACATGGTCTAATTGCTATTCAGTCAGCTGGGTATTTACTCTCTCTCTCAGCTGATTAGCTTTTCAATCAAATTCACTGTCAACCTCAATTTCTACAGCAAACATAAACATTGACATTTAATGGCCTCAGTAATGAACCCTGAGGGAAACTTATTATCAATTATTCAATAAGATTAATATTTACTTGTACTTACCCTAAAGAGAAGTGAGGAAATTAACAGAAAGGAAATGTACAAAATAAAATAGCAAGGTCAAAAATAAAATGGCAGCTAGAGTAGGAGCCCTATTTAAAGGGCAAGTATGCAACAGAATTGATAAACTGAGTTTTTTAAAGCAATAGTTTTGCACAATGTCAACCAAAATGATTTAATTTTATCTTTATTACGATAAAGAAAATCACTACCTCCAGTAAACAAATTAAAAAGATTCAGAGCAGGAAGGATAAAGAAGAATGTATAGCAAAAGTAAGATTTACATGTGGCATTTAACAAAAATTTAAACTCTGACAAGACAACGATGGCACTTTGAATTCTTAAACCCTGACACCAGTACTATCGAATTGATACTCAGAAAGCTTTTCAAAACTAAGGAAGAGTAAAAGCAAATAAATTACACTGTCTTTCTTTCTTGTTCAGATAATTCTCAGCAAGATATGATCTCAATTATTTTCATTGTAGTTTGTCAAATTTGAAAGAATGTGGTGAAATCACATAGTGAAACACTCTCCTCAGTCAATTTAAGCAGATCCAAATCTGGTCAACATGCAGATCCAAATCTGGTCAACATCCAAGTGCCATTAGAAATGATACATTCACCATCTTGAATCCCATGTTGAAAAAATAGACTTCTCCCACTTTTTTCTTTGTTTCTTAGAAATAATTTGATCTGCCCAATTCTTAATTTATCCTCTTTTGATGTTTATTTGATCTAATTTCTCTCACTTTTATCTTTATCTTTTTCCAAATCAAGCTTGATTCCTTTTTTTTTTTGTAAATTTTAGTTGAGTTTTCACAAAGAGAAAAACAATACAAATAAAACTTCTTTTTTGAAAGTAGCGTAATCCCAGGTTACATTTCTTCATACAGACACAAATTCAGGTTCATGACCATTTTTATATTCTATTCCATATCGTATTACTATTTTACATTTTCTGCATAGCTTCTCCCCTTTTAATTTTCTCAATTTTATTTTAATTATCTCATCTCAATTCAAATCATTGTATTTATATTTTTTGTCTATTTATCATATTTCTATGGGAAAATTATAAGCTTTCCATAGTTAATCCCCTCTCTTCACTTATATTTTATAAAACATTAACTTTGTTTTTCCTTGAAGATGTTTTGCTTCTTATCCAAGAAGCGAGCAAGAACTGAAGAAGCTTCTTAGATGAGAAGTGAAATATCTTCGAGTAAAAACAAAGAAAGTCCAGTTGCCTTTTGACAAAGCATCTCTGGGACATGGAAATGAAGTGGCTTTCCACCGATTTCTTTCTAGGACTGAGACAGAGTAACTGGCCAAGACCAGCCCATTAATTTCTGTACTCTAAAGCAAGAGTAAAATCCCTATTCCCTATATTCCTAGTCCAGCACTCTAACTGCTAAACGAAACAGGATCTCATCCCGAGGTGCTATTTAGCCAGTTCGGACCGGTTCTGGCGTACTGGTAGTGGAAATTTTGATCAGTTCAGAGAACCGGCAAAGACCATCGCTGGCTGGCCCCACCCACTCACCCCTGCTCTTTCCTGGTCTTTATTCCACTGATTTTTAGCTCAGCTGATTCACGTGGCAGAGTAGATTGCCACACCTCAGCTGAATTAAAAAACAGCTCAGGCAATCTCGGACTGCTGCACGAGGACGATCTTTGAGTGCTGCGCAGGCACACTAAGTGCATTGTTAGATGTGCTTGCACGCAAAGCCTGTGTCTGCGCACAAACCGGTAGCGCACAGAACCAGTAGCGCGCAATTTGCAACCCCACCGCTAGTCTCATCTGCTATTGCCAGTATATTTATTATTAGTACTATTGCTGTTATTATGGTTTCAAAATATAATAAATGCCATTTTTTCAATGCAAACCCACTATAAGAATATTTCGCTTCTGGATATTCAGAGAAATGCTTCAGGAGATTCTCTGTGGAGGGGGAAAAACAAATCACTAGCAGGACAAAATGACTATACCTGCTAAGCTGGGCTTGCAGTTCCGTTCGGCAGCTAGCTGTCTGAATCACTTGAGTAAGCAAAGTGACAACAGCTGCAGCTCGCTGGATATAAAGCTCAGTCAAGGTGCTATTTTCTTGGAAACTGCTGGTCAGTTGGGATAGGGATGAAACTATCCTCATCAGCACAGGATGAAGATCTCTGTAAATTGCAATAAAATGAGATGTCACACAATCATGTTAGTGTAGTTAATTAAAAAAACTCACTGAAGTCAAAATCCAATTACAAGACATTTATAGCAATGTGCAAAATATTTTGAATTCAAAATCCCATTTTGAGTTCAAAACAGATGTTCTATGCTCTGGTTTCTCTTCAGATTATATAAAGCAGCTATTCCAGAAGTGCTGTAATATTGCTCTATAAGTATTCTGAAATTAAAGGATTCCTATTTTGAGCTTGAAAGGAAGTTATTTTGGGTTTGAGATACTTGCAGAATAGTCAGAAAACTTCCAGTAGGAGGAGGAAGAAGAGAAAAAGTAAATATTAATATTTTAAGAAATCAACTAGGATTCCAAATAAGTGCATCATTCCTGGTTGGTTGCTATTGTAAACGAAATAATAACTTATTTGGAGTTCAGAACTTTCCATATAAATCAATACTAGATTTTGCATCAGTTATCTCTTACTCCATGCTATCTTTTGCCCATTTGGTTGGAAATCAGCCTGGGAAAACAGGAGGAAGCATTGCCACTTCCCTCCTAATAAATAACTTCCAGTTCCCAAAGTTCAAATATAGATCTTGCTACAACCATCCTAATAAGTAGCAATTATACACAAAACACCTCTAGCAAAGAATATAATTGACAAGGAAACTTTCATGTAATTTAATGAACAATCCCTCTCCTGCCAGTGAACTGACTTCTATTTTGGTTATTCTGGTTTATTCAACCAAGTTATTCTAATTTATTCAGCCTTTGTATACAAATAAACAAACCATATTTGGTAAATTAGATGCCAGTGAGTTATGATTTTTATGTACACTATTTAATAACTTAATTTCTAGAGGAGAAACTTGCATTTTGAACTAAATTACAGCAGTAGTTTATCCAAGCTATTTCATCACCTGTCTGCTAAGGCCAATTTCCATCTACTGTAGTACTTAGTTGAGAAAGGAATAGTAAATGAACCAAGGAGTATACTGTAGCATCTATGAAAGGCAAGGAAAACTTCCAAAAAACTCAGAAGCTTTCATACTCTTGGAAGTGAAAGGAAAGGAAATTGGAAGTGCAAACACCCAGTCAAAGCCATACCGGTAGAGATCACATGCTTGACCATAACCAGTGGCCACAGCCCACAAGCGGAAGGCTTCTGTGCTTATATTTATGGCTTCCTCTATCCTTAGAGAAAGGTCTTTGGGATCTTCAGCTATAAAGCGGCTCAGCCGACTCTTCATGTCAAATTTGTTTAGCTGTAAATAACAACCAAATGCAAGTAAGATTCAGGAATTATAACGAGGTTACAGAGAGAAGAAAATCCATGCTGATATCAAGCAGAATATAATAATTCTGGCATCTTATTTAGTGGCTTTAAAGGGAATCAGATAAATTCATGGAGGTCAGATCTGTGAATCACTATCAGGCATGGCAACTAAATGGAACCATACAAACTGAAATAAAATGCTCCTGAATATTAGTTACTGGTGGATAAGCCAAATAAAAGGATTGTTGCCTTCCTGATATGCTTATCAATTTTCTCCATGTGAATGGGGGACCAGATGGATTTATGGTGTATACTAGGAGGCATCTCCATGGGAATACATGAATTAAAAACAAATATTCTTCTTTTATACATTAACCAGTATCCTTACTTGCTACAAAACCTCTGTGCTAATACCTTTCTTTCATGCTTCTCTCCCTTGAAGTCTGCAGTTCTTATATGTACAGAATTTAGAAAATCATACTGATTTACTTCAAGCATATTTATTTCCTCTGTGCAAATCTAAATTCTAGTATATGCATATAAAGAATACCAATTAACTGGAAGAAATGGGGAAACTGCCCTCTTTACTTCAATTAAATTTGGTGAATTGCATATTTTATTACCTATACCAGTGGTGGCTAACCTTTTGGGGCTCTTGTGCCCAAAACTGTGTGTGCACATGCACGCGCATGCGCGCATGTGCCAGCACCTAGAAGGCAATGCGTGCGCCCCCATCCCCTGCGCATGCCATTGCAATCCCCTTCGTGCCCCCTTACCTGCACTGTGCCTCCCAGCTGATTCTCAGCCCATTTGAGGCCTTTTTTGGCCTCCCAGAGGCTTGAGGAAAGCTTCTGCAGCCTTTGCAGGCTGAAAAATAGGCCCATTTCGTCACTTCTGGTATTATGAAAATACAGAAAGTGATGAAACGGGCCTATTTTTTGGCCTGCAAAGGCTGCAGATGCTTTCCTCAAGCCTCTGGGAGGCCGAAAAAGGGCTGAAAATCAGCTGTGAGGCACACAATTGCACAGTGAGGTAAGTTTGCCTGCAACTCGCGTACCAGCACAAATGGCTCTGTGTGCCACTTGTGGCACGCGTGCCATAGGTTCGCCATCATGGACCTATACTTTTAATATTGTTAATTAGCTAAGTAGTAGTGGCTGAAAATAGTTCTTACCAGCCTGGCAGATGTGTTTCGCCCTCCACATGCCAAGACTCTAATGAGTTTCATGGCAGTGGAACATGGTACTCCATGTAGGCTTTCAAGCAACTTCCCGGGTTCAGCTGGTCTTGGAGTCCATCGGGTGGGAATAAACTCTCTGACAATAGTCTCAACAAGACGAGGACAATCAAGGACCTGTAAACATGTATTTTAACAAAAGTCAGTGCTACAAAGCTAACAACTTTTCACTGTAGTGATACAAGTACCTTGCAAAATGTTTCAAGAAAATGGGCAATGCCCCTTCTTTTTATGATTTCTCTAGAAGAAAAGTGCATGGAATGAAAAATTGTGTTGCTTCAAATTTTGGATCAGAGAGTGCAACTCAAAAATATTCCCTTTTAAGCTTCAAAATTGGCTGGTGGGACAAAGCATTTTGTCTAGAATTATTGTGGGTAGACTGCAAAAAGTTTGGAAAAGTAATCCAGTCACAAGCCAGCATGCTACAATTCAATCACTGTTCTCACAATGGTAGAAACTCTTTAAACAACTCTGGTTGACATGGGTTGAGATTGTCTTGACCTCAGAAAAAACTATTGGAACGTGGATGTTTGTTTTAAGGTCAGAACACTTGGAATGGCAATTTCAAACTCAAAAAGTGTCGAACTTGGAATATCTGGCATAGGCTTGTTCTCTTATGTTAAATGTTCTTTTCTAAGGAAGGACATTTACAAGACTTACCTGGACACAGGCCTCAGTGGAATGCCTTGCTATGCGAATGAGGATATCTAGAATCTCCAAAACCACTAATGGAACAGGCCGCATTACTTCCAGGATGTATCTCAAGCGATGAAGTATCTTGGTCTTCAGCAGTCCCTAAGATACAAACCGTGCAATTTATACTACAACAATACTAATAATTAAATACACAAACTGGATTTTTTTTCATTATTAAATGCTTCAGGGGTTACTAGCTATCCCTTATAGAAAGTTATTGCTATTTTATAATTGGAATTTCAACAACTTGCTCAGGAAGAGAGAAACATTTTCTTCAAAGAGGGAAAGACACAGCAGGAGAATTCAAACTGTCTGGAATTTAAACCTGATGACTTGTCTGTATGAAACAACCAGATTACGTTACAGAAATAGATTTTATATTCACATTTCAATTGAGACTATCCCCTCATCTGAATGTAAGTCCATGAAAGATACCAAGTAAGATATCTGAGATAACCACTCAGATGTAACTGCAACAGAGTTACCCTTAAAAATGACCTGATATTCTCCAGAAGTGTGTCATATGACATCTCTAATTTTCATGACAAAAAATATCTCCAAATTGCCACTCTTCGAATTAATGACATAAAAAAGTCAGAAAGTGTATAGATCAAGTACTTAATTATACTAGCCTCTCTGAACGTAAGTCTATATTAACTACAGAGATCTTCTTGTGCAAATGAACCCTGATCAAAAGCTCTTCAAAGCAACTGGCTTTTTACACCGGTGTAATCAAATTAGTTTTTGGAAGGCTAAGAAAAATCAGTGATACATCTAAAACAAAGTTTGGTTTCATTGAGGAAATGTTCAGCATACCACCAGTCAATTTTTTACTCTGTTGGAATAACATAACAATGGAGGGAGGGAATTATTGAGGTATGATTTTGGATGTTTTACCTTTACAACGTCATATCGTGCTACTTCTGCATCTGGCTTGTTTTCATCCTTTAATTTTTTCCCTGGTATTTTTTCATTTGGAGTTAGCTCAACACCTTCCTCTTCCTCTTCAAGTTCTCCTTCCTCACTGTTTGGGATTAAAGGGTACACAGTCATGCCCTGGTACCATGCAAAAGACTTGTCAAGGTATTCCTGGAAGGGAACAAACATCAAAAAGCTCTCAGCAGAGAGAAAACATGGATTTATAGTTAAACTAACTGAGATCCAGAATTCACGGCAGAGGATCCAGATCAAATTCCTAGCATCTCCCGTTTGGGAAGGGATTTCAGAAGTAATATTGTAAAACATCTTGTTCAAGGCTACTACTTTTAAGTAAGTAAAATGGTCATATTTTCATTGCAAGACCCTTTTTTTAAGGTCTAAAAGTTTTTTCCTCCAGACAATTAAAAAATGAAGGAGTTTGATGCAATATGGAATCCTAGGAGAAGAAAGGATGGAAAAGCATTGGGGGTGTGTGTGTGTAAGAAGGTCAATTTTATTTTGCCCTAACATGCAACCCCTCCCCAATACCATTATTTATTCCAAAAGATCTTCCAAGTCGAGACTTGATCTGGAAGAAATCAAGCGAGTGTGGCATACAGATCATTTAAATTTTGGTGGAACAAACTTAATCCCATTAGCAGGGTCTGATCTTTGGTTTAGGCACCTAAAAGAACTCCATGGATCTCCATAGGTTCTTTGGGGAAAGTTGGCATTTTACACATTCATCGGTTTCCCATTAAAATAATGTAGAAGTCCTGATTCAGCCACTGAAAAGTAGCACTAAATTCTAGATATTTTTAAATATTTGGATTTTAAAAAACATATGAAATGTTATTAAGCTTTCTTCTTTACCTAACTCTATAAACCCTCTCTGAGGTACACATGAAAATAAAAATTGTTTTTGTTTTGCATCTGTTTAATTAAAAATAAGCCCAATTACCCTCTAGTCATATTAATAATCATTTCCCAAAGGTCACTTTAAAAGAATGTAAAATGAAGACCACTTCCTCTGGCATTTTGCTCATAATAATTGTTTTAAATTGGCTATCATATAGTCAGGAAATAAACCACAGGTACTGTCTAGCTGATCTGATTCATTCAAAACTAGAAAATGTATTTATTTATGTTATTTTTATTACACTGTTTTCTATACTATTCTCCAATCACGAGACTCCCAAGTAGCTTACATTCCTGGTACTTGGTTGAAACAGAGCAGTTAAAAAGACAGACCAACAAGAGGTAGGAAATACCCACAATACAGTTCTACAACATCTATTTATTCAATAGTTTTTCAATTTGAACAGTTTTCATAATATAGAAATTAATGGACCCTTAAAAACAATTAATAAAGTCTATTATGTGTTTTTTGTATTATAAAATGAGGAGCCAGGTTGTTGGGGGCAATATGCTGATATTTGTAAACCGCCCAGAGTGTCCTGTATGTAAAGCACTATGGAGCGGTATATAAGCCTAAGCGCTATTGCTATTGTTATTGCTATTTACAAAAGAAATCATTCAAGACAATCTCTGAATAATACTTAATATTTGCAAGATGTTTAAATGGGAATACAGTGGATCAGAAGGTGAGCAACCACTAATACAAAGTCAGGTGCAAAAGCTCAAAGCATTACTTTGATTGATGGACTGGGGGAAGAAAACATCCATCTCAGGTGAAGGAATTTAGCCATTCCTTTCTTTTTAGTGAGCAATGAAGTCTTTTAAATAGATTCAAGTATTCTGCGGATACAAACCTCATCATCCAGAGAGACAAGCAGTGCATGGAGAGCATGGACAGTAGCTGCTATGACATTATCCACTGGATCATCCAAAGAGAAACGGAGCAAAAACAGGAAACCGGCATCAAGCAACACTTGCAGGACACTTCCTTTCAGCAAGGAGGTAAATCCTCCTGCTTTCGCCTGAAACACACATTGCAAGCAAACCAGTATTAACATGGACAATGACCTTAGTCCATACCAGATGACATCAGTCCATATTAGTCCATACCAACAAAATTGCCTAGGACAGCAGAAAAGCTGCTACTGCGCTGCTCCTTCTTGTGTCATGGGACAATTTGGGAAAGCCCTCCAGCAAATGGAAGATCACTGACAACAGAAGCAGTTATAGCCTAGGCTTACTGTGTATACCCTTGAATCTCTAAAACAGATGAAAAAGGCTTGTCTTTAGCAGGTCCTGCTTCACCCCATACCACAGAAATGCAAGTTGCAAAAGGACAACAAAATCTGGAGTGGTTACTGGCTACAATTTTATCTCCATGTTTTATGTTTATGCATACTATATTTCTAAATGAAATTTTTAATAATTCACCAATTGGACAGGAGACCTAAATCAATGTTCTCAACAAATGGGAAAGAGATTTCCCAAGGCAAAATACAGGCTATATATCAAAGCAAACAGCAATCATAATTACCAATGGGAAAGCTGCTGTATTTCTGTAGAGTCAGAAAATATTTCACGGCTACATGTTGATACTATTCAAAGTGTGAGCAAGTCACAATGGTTCAGATCTGGCATTGGCACTAAGCTGTACTTTTTGGCAAGTTCTTAAAGGAGCTGCAGTTTTAGGCATGAGTGACTCCCCTGAATCCACCAAATCTTTGGATTCAAAAACTACACCTCTCTATTATATATAAAGATGCTACATTATCAACTTCATCTACTACAATGCCTATTGAAAAGATCGTGGAACTCTATAAAAGAGCCACTGAGAAAGCATCCAAACTGTACGCAAACTCTGAGCTTACCTTCTGGACAATGTGGCCCAGCACCTGTAAAGCCAGCGTCCTTTGCTGAGTGACTTGGCTACGAGATAAGTGGAAGAGCTCTTGCAGTGAATAGCCAGCCCTCTATGATCAAATAAACAAACACTGAAACAGCCAAGACTAATTAGAGAGTACAGCGCGCTATCAGCAGAAAGAAGCAGTAATGGTAATATAATACCATCTCAGACCATTGTTCATTTCTCTGAATAAAAATTGCATTGAGCAAAGAGTTAAAATAATCATCTTCTACCCATCTTCCACACCATCCATATCACAGTACAGCAGATGCAGATGGGCCTGATAAATCTGCCTAAAAGGGGATGTTTAAAACAAAGGCAACTGGAAAACAAGAGCTTCAGAAGAATTAAGCTCGTAACATCAGCTTCACATAGCAAAATAGTTTGGAGAAATACAATCTGCCGCAAGGCTAGAATTTGAGAGTTCTTTATTTTATAGCCCTCTTTTAAGGGCTATAAAAGTTCCCAACACTGAGGCTTTTCGTCGTGTCTGTTTTGTTCTTCTTTTCTTTCTAAATTCTTTTAAGCAGTTCATTACAAGTTTATCCTGTGGGCCCTCATTAATCCAGAATTAAGTAAAAAAAATGGCAGACCATTGTGACACACGCTACACAATAAGATTGCAGATATGCTTAAATCTGAAGACCTACCTCTGCTTCTTCTCCATGGTGATGCAGGCCCAAATGTGTGGGAAACTCTTTATCTGGAGGAATAAGTTCTCCTCTCAGACTAAAGCGTGCTTGCATCCCCTATTGGAAAAAGAGACAAAGACATAATTTCTTATTAAGTTATCCAGATATCTAAAAACTTGGCAGAAAATCTAGAACAATTCAAAGCGCTGAAATCTATTTAAGCAAACCAAATTCTTTCCTCTTTCATGTGTTCTGGAGAAAGATCATTTGAAAAGCAAAAGAGAAGAAATTGTTTTTTTATTTTCCAACCTTTTTTATTTGGTTCTGCCTCAATGGAGGAAGGTTCTTCGTCCACTCCAGCTTTTCAAATTCTACAGTCTCCATGTGGACCCATTCCTTTTGAGGCTTCACAGGAAGGCCATCATCTTTATGGAAAGGCAAAGACAAGCATTACTGTTCTCGGGCACAAAAACAAAAGCAGACATCACTGTCTTTGAAAGGTTCTCAAAAATAATTTCATGCAACAACGGGATGAAAAACACCCAAGTGATTCATCTTTCACACATAATATCACAGTTCCACTGACAATTTAATTTTCCATAACTTCTAGAGAAGAAAGGGGAAGAGGTTGCTAATGATAAAATGAAGCCAAGTTGATAATCACCTTGTGCGCAGAAAGAATAAAACTGTCAGGCATATCAGGTATGACAATTAAACTCTCTCTCCTCATTCTACAGTCCTACGCCAACATAAGAAAGTTAGCTAACTAGATTTACTGCAGAGAATTAGGAAGGCATATATAGGGAAAAAAGTTCTCCATCTAATGGTACATAAGAATTCTGCCCTAATATTCAAAACTGCCTCACCCCGCTGTGTTTTCGCTACTGGTTTCCCAAGTTTCTCCATCATAAGAATCAGAGATTCTCACTCGACCAGTTTTAACCCTTATTTTTTGTAAGAACAGAAATCAAGAGCAGAAAATAAGGTTAATAACCAAAATTGCATTCTATACACATATTAGGAAAAAATGACAATCTAGGTTGCAATAATATTTTTTTTAAAAAAATGTTAGAGGAGCTTCTCAAACAGAGAGGTTATTTCACTTGAAACATTCCTTTGAATTCCAGACATTGTAAAAAATAAAACAGAAAGAACAAGGCATCCAAGGAACTAAATACAAACAGGTAAGAACTCAATCAGAACAATAAAAATAAAGGCCCTAAGAGTAGTGAGCAAATCCCGAAAAGGACTGGACATAAAGCTTTTCAAATATTTGGTTATTATAGGCTAGACAATCAATAGAAGCAATAAAGAAGCAATCCACTGAGAATTTGAAAAATCCATAACATCACCGGTGGAATGTTGTCTAGAATTAATAGTTAAGTTCTCAAATATTAACACTGAAAAAAACAGAATTTGAAAAAGCTAAAAAAGCAAAATAAACTTTCCTGCATCCCTAAGATCGTGAAATTCTTGTGCAGATTCTAAGTAATAAACCAGGAAGTCCCTGGAGATTCCATCTGCCTTAAATTCATTATTTAACTTTGAAGAAACCACCCCTCCACTTTTACCTCAAATTCAATTTACTTTCTGCAATCTGAGGGACAAGAATATTACAGTTGGAACTGCCAGATAAGTGACTATATGCAGCATACCGAAATAGCAAATTAAGTAAAGAATAAATAAATACTGTCTGAACTTAATACCGTCTTTATCTCTACCTTTCTCCCGTCCTTTCATTTTACTCCCCAGAAAACCAGGACCTTCTGAACATGCTTCCTATGTTCTCCCTCCTTCTATGGACTGAGATCTGTTTTACATGCCAACATCTGTTTTACATGCTCTACAGCTCTCCTTCCTGTCTCCCAAGGTCATTTCCACATACCGTTACACTGTGTTTTGGCTTCTCCACTTTGGCCGTTTTAAATTCTTTGCTGGCATGCTCTCTATATGGATTGGGACTGTTGCTCTGTGTGTACATTTTTGGCCATTTTCTGTCTGGTTCACATATGTAAAACACCATAAAAAGTTAAAACCATTATTATTGTCATCAATATCGTTATACTTCTACCATTCCTAGGTTTTGAGTTAGAACCCGAATGACTGCAAAGTTCCAAAGACTGTGATATTCCTTCCATATATGCAACAATAATAATGTACTGATATCAGCTGGTAAAACCTGATAAAAGCCTCCCTGGAAAGTTAAAATCTAAGAGCCCAGCAACAGAGAATAGTTTTCACTTCTCTCCTAAATATTAACAGGAATGTTACATCTTTGTCAGGAAACAAGGGTATTTTTAAGGCTCAGGCAGGTTTTCTTCTTCCTGCCCTTATAGTTCCATGGGTAGTAGAAATACACAGCATGCCTTCCTTTTTTGTAGGAAAAAAAGCCAAGTATCTAAAATGTAACACATACACACACACAATGAAAATTAAAGCACTCATTCAGATTTAAAAAAAAATATCTGCAAATTTCTATTTAACTGACATTCAGTTCATTGCAAACTCTTTTTTTAATGCATCAAGATGGTGGGTGTGAAGCAGGAAGAAGGAACAAACAAACATAAATTGTTTGTATTGTTCTGGTATTTATCATTCACTCTGTCTGTGTGTGTTTTCTTTCAATTAATCACTAAATGAGGAAAGCTAATTAAACCACGCTCTGAATCGGATTAGTTATATGTACCTCAAACATAAACACTAAAACTTTGTCAACAGGGGGAAAAATACTGTTACTTATTCTACTGTTATCAGCAGACTATTCAGTCCCTGATAAATCCTCCTACAGCAATGCAAGCTGGCAGCCCGGAAGCTGAATAGGCACAGGGTTTTTTTCAAGCTTCTATTTAGTTTTTCATACTGAGAGGTAGTCAGCCTGTGGTGCCAGTTTAGTCAACCTTACATGGAGTTTCATAGATATGATCCACCCCATCCACTAAAGATCTGCCCTTTTACATTTAATATTCAGCAGCAAACACTGCCTGTACTACAAAACACACCAGGTAACGCAGTTCAATGTTCCTTAGAAGAATTAAACAGGCATTGTATATACAAAACATTAGTTTGGGACCACTTGAAGCATGAAACAACCTATTTTGAGTGCAAAAGGAATGCTCGGAGCAGTTCAAACCCAGAATTCAGAATTATTTCAAGCTTGAAATGTTTTCAAAATGATGGCCTGTTTTACATTTAAAACAGGCTCCCATTCAAAACAGAGTTCCCCTTGACATTTTGCAAAGTTGCATGCTCCTACTAGTACAAAATGAATCACCAAATGCAGAGTTATCTCTGCTTGCAAATGAGATTCAGTGATTAGAGCCCTCTGCATGGATGCAGGAAAACCACACAGAACTTTTTGTTCAATCATAACAGACTTGGGCATATAATTCTCATTCAAATTATTTTGCCCCACAGGCAGCTATGCAGTTGAAATGCCACTTAGTATGTTCTGAAGGAATAGCAGGCTGCAAATATTATAATCAAATATGTCTGTCATAATGGATGCAAATGCCACCATTTCTGGATTGGAGGCATGTATACAATGCATGTATCCAAGGCAGTCACTGAATTTTCAAAACCTAAACAAACCATAAACACATGCGCTAACCAATCAGCTGTTTCGAAACCCCTGGGATAAATCATCCTCTCTCTTCTGTTCCCAAAGATCTTGAAAACTTTATGGAAGTTGAGAATGGAAGAGACTGTCCGCATATCCAAGTGGAGGTATTCCAGACAGGAGGGAAGCATCACTGAGAAGGCATGCACAATGGGTCCCTAATAACCACATCCTTTCAGATGAACTTATTTCCTCTAACAAATCTTTGGCATCCAGATTCTCCCCAGAGCAGATGACCCCAAAGATATCCAGATCCTAAGCCATGCAGGATTCCAGATCCCTAGAATTGCAACCAAAAGCTAGCTGGCAACAAATAAAGATCCTGTAGAAAAGAGAGCACATTGGCAAATCCAGATCCGTCTGTAATACCTGGAGCACTGCTTTTTAGGTCAGATACAACACCATGGCAAGTAAGCCGCAAGAGTCCAGACATAAGATGACAAGGGCATGGCTGGTAGCCAGCCAAGCTTCCCATTTGAAAAATGGCAGAGAAAGTCTGCAAAGGCCCTCCTGCCCACAGCCTCCACCTGCTGTTCTCACAGGATCCATGAGGCCATGAAAACATCCAGACAGGTGAATTTGTGGCATTTACTGACTTGCAACTGAGGAGCTAGTGAATTTTAAAATTGCATTGTAGCGGTTCTGTTGAAGCATTACAAGAAATCGGGGTTTTCAGTGATAGCAACTAAAGTAACCCTGGCTTATGCAATGTCCTATTACAGCACGACCCTGAGGAAAATATTACTACCTGATTTATTTATTTTTATCTGCAGCTTAATACACTGCAGAAAACCTAGACTGTGATTAATCTTAGGCATGGTTTGGTGAAACAAGACAGGGTTATATTACATGGATTAAAGGTGGCTTTTTATAAGAAATCATCATTATGGCACTCTTGGGCCAAAATGAAAAACTTATTTTATCTAATTAAAAGTATTTTCAAGGAACTCTAGAAGAAGAAATGCTTCCAATAATGTATGTTAAGATTCAGGCGCCTCGACCCTTTTAGCCTTCTGGAAAGCTGTGAAGAACTGGTCCTGCTTTCCACATATTGGGCAAATAAAGTACTGACTCAGGAGGTTCACAGTATGAGTGGTCTAGCACCTGCTGGGAAAGATATTTGTTTCTATATTGTTGTTTTTATTGGTGAGCCACCTGCAGTCACTGTGTGAGATAGGTGCCCATAAAAGTTTGCTAAATAAATCCTTTTTGGAAGTTCTATCTAAATACCTCAGTTGCATTTGTGCGAGTCTTTAAATAGCCAACGTAAATATGTGATTCAGCAATAAGATCACTGTTCACTTTTACTGTCCGGGAAGAAGCATTTTTCATTACTTGCAAACTTTCTGTCTGTAAGAGATCAAAGATTGGATTTGGGTCCTTCAGCATGGAAAACCCATGTCCTATTACAGATAATAAAACCTCTTAAGTGCCTTTAAGCTTAGTCAATTCTTGCCGAGAGCAATTTTATTTGTTCATCTATTGAAAAAATTTATATGGCTGCCCACACATAATTCTGGGCAGCTAACAACCAGTTTACCTCAAAAAAATCAATATAACAAGCCCCAGAACCTTAAATCCTACAAATCTCATCTATCTCTGCTAGAAGAGATAGTCCATCCAATAAATACCACGGTGTGCTCCCGGAACAGAAAGTAAATTCAGTCTTAAAGTCTTTATTGGAAGCTCTTCTCCAGGCTTCCCTAACAAATGAGATAAGGCAATTAATTAATTAAAAATACCTATCTCATTTTGATGGCAATAAAGGCTTCCCCACCATCCAGTCAGAACTGAAGAAGCATCTAGGATGAGAAAAGCCCTACTAAATTCCCAATACATTTTCTGTGTATAAACATCTCCCGTTAGGTATTAGTAACCAACGGAAGCATTAATCTGGATTTTACTCAAAGGTGAGCGGAAATAGTTCCTCTTCTCCACTCCAAGGAGCAAGAAAAGGAAGAGTTTTCCCCTTCCATCAAGACAATGTAAAATAGTGTCTTCTTGGTTCTCCAGTAACTTTTGGTGTGCAATAATGCAATTGTTCTAGTTTGACTAAGATTGTGCGAAATGAACATCAACCTACAAAACTGAACATGAATGTGACATCTGAAAACCTGGCATCTTAGTTCAGAAAGATAAGTTACTGCATTGATTCTGACAGTTATGCCTTCTGTTACCTGTAGCATCCATTCGTATAGGGGCTTCAGATCTTAGAAAGGCCTTCGTGCCTGGTTCCTTTTCTGTGTTTGCTTTCTGTTGGAAAGTATCTGTCTGTGTTTCAGCTGCCTCAGGCTGGGATTCAGGCAATGTTTGGGGCTCTATAAGCCTTGTTGACCTGTCTTGTTCACTTTTCCTTTCTCCTTCTTTCATTGTGCAAGTACCATACCGTGACTTTAAGAAAACAAGTAAATTGGGATCTGAGAAATGAAAACAGGACAAAATATAAACTTTGTTAGTGGTCCCCTTCAATGCAATAATATTTCACTTCTTTCAGTCCAGTGACTAAATATCTGGAAAACGCTTATCTATCTAGTCTTTAGGTAAGGGACACTTTGGGAGTGCAAATTAAATACACACATCCCAATTTATGCCATGAAGCATTTTCTTATTCTTGGGAGACCCAGAATAAATTTTCTATTTTATGCCTCTGTTATGTGGACTGCTACATAAATTAAACATTCAAAGAGGAAGGCTTCAAATATGGGAACCAATATGTACCTTTGAACTGTAAACTAATAGAGCTTTGGTGCTTTGGACTTTATTCTACTGTACTGGAAATTTATCTCATTTGTATTTTTCAAATATTAAGGAATGTGTCATGCCTTAACTATAGAAGAAAGGTAAAGAAATCAAAATACATACATGAATAAAGCACATCGACTGATTGAAGTTTGCCAAGATATGTATTGAGCTAAGGTAAGTCAGCAAAAATAATTTACCTAACTGAGCCATCAGTCGCTTCTGCTCCTCCAAGATCTGCTCTTTGGACATCGATTGCAACTTTTCTAAATTTTCTTTGTGGATGTTCTGGACTTCCTGCTCACCACTCAGGCTTCCAAGACCTTCACCAGTGACAATGCGAGGCAACTGACTTTGTATGCTACCAACAGCTTCACCTAAAAAGTCAAGGGCACTTAGATGTTACCTAAAATAGGGCTAACTATTTGTTTCACTATCCTCCATAGTTATATTTTGCTCTTAATCTTTTCTTCCCAAGAAAAATAAATACTGTAGGTGCTATAATGAGGAAAGTACCCAGTTATATTTTTTGCTCTATAATTTAAAGTTAATAATCTAGCTATATAGTTGAGTTTATCCCTGTAATTGTAATACCGTGTTTCCCTGAAAATAAGACCAGGTCTTATATTAATTTTTGTTCCAAAAGACACATTGTGCTTATTTTCAGGGAACAGTATACAGTAAATGCACCCGTCTGGCTGATGATTTTGATTGGGGCTTATTTTGGGGATAGGGCTTATATTACAAGCATCCTGAAAAATCATGCTAGGGCTTATTTTCTGGTTGGATCTTATTTTCAGGGAAACACAATAGTTAGAAGAGAAAGCTTTGCCCCAAGAAAAACACTTGTAGTTTTAAATTTTGATTAGAGATAGTCTTCACTTAACTTCTACTTATTCAGCAATTGTTCAAAGTTATACAGTGCTAAATGAGAGGGACCTAAAACCAGTCCTCATAGTTGTGGCTGTCACAGCATCTTCCCGATTATATCATTGCAATTTGAGTACTTGGCAACAGCTTGCAATTAGTGTTGCAGAGTCCTACAATCACATGATCACCACTGACAGCTTCCAACAAAGTCAGTGGTGAAGCCAACAGGAGGTTGCAATTTTTTTTCCACATTTTTTTTAAAATTGCTGAATATAAAATACAAATAAAAAAAAAGACAATAGAAGATAAGGGGAAAAGGGAAGTGGAATAGAGTAAGGAAGGGGAAAAGAAACAACAAAAAGCATGACTTCCAACTTGTTTTAGTGCAGTAAATTACAAGGTAAGATTATAGTCCCAACTTTTCACATATAAAGTTAATACTAGCCATTTCTATAACAACAATCGATTTAATCATCAAAACCCAAGATCAAAGTTTCATTTTTATCTCTTCTTTTTCTATAACAATGCCTCTTCTCTGCAATAGCATCTCTAGGGAATTTCAGATTGCTCCAACTTGGAATCCTTTAAATGGTTTTTGATTTTTTTTCTCTTCTCCAAACTCTGGGATGGCCCAGAGTATGTTTACTGGGTGTGTTCTGTCTTACTTACAATGCATCTTTGTTTCCTCGGTTACATTTATTCCATTTTGCTTGGTTTCAGACATTTTCCTAATTTTTAATTTCTAAACAATAACATGTAGAAATGTAAAAATGATTATGAGTTGAGCAGCCTTTCAAATCTAAACTATAAAAATTGCAGGGTGGCAGAATGCAATGTCTTAGTGAGGAAGAAAGTCTGAAATTGTGTTGTGCTTAAGGAAACAATACATAGCAAAATCATTGTATCTAAACACAACACTTTACTCACTCCTTTCTTGTCCAGGTATACAATTTTTATTTGGAATTTGGATTATAATCTGAAAAGGAATTCAAAGGTTAAATCCAAATTCCCTTTTCAGACAAAGGAATTGAGCTGCCTTAAAGGTTGGGAAATAGGACAACTCCTTATGTGCCATGGCAGTGATCCCCAAAGAATGGGGAAATTCTCCTATAAAAAGAGAAGATATGCCACAAAAATCTCAGCACGACAACCAGCAAAGACTGCCACACTTTCGGTAATGGAAGAAGTCATTTACAACTCTTTGGATTAATTTATAATCTTAAGCAGGTTTATACTCTGAAATAAATCACATTGAGTTCAGTAAGCCTGCACAAAATTACACTCAGTGTCAAAGGGACCTTGAAGGCAACCACCCACTTTTAAAGAGCTATTTGTTCTCACGTGTTCACCTCCCTAAGCATCTCTAAGGCTTACTGAGTCCATCATAACATTCACCTGCATTTTCCTCATGGATCTGTACCTCCAAAGTATGTGAAGCGACCTGTCTTGAATTTGACTGAACAGCAATATGAGGTGTGCAATCTCCTTTAGCTGCCCTCTTGGCAGCTATTTTCTGAGCAAAGATGCTTTTTTTCACAGGTGCTGATTTTACCTGCAGGAAGACAAGACAGCAGATCAAAACTACACCATTTTCCCATGCTTTGTGCTATGGTGGGTATTAGAAAGTACAGGTATACCATATTTTTTTCTCTGTAAGATGCACTCCCCCGCCCCCCCCAAAAAAGTCCTTTGCGGTCCTTTGGTGAATAGCAGCAGGGCTGTGGCAGTGGGGTCCTTTTACAGTGCTGAACCCTGCCTCTTCTGTCTCTCTTCCACAGTGCAGGAGTCAATAGGCAGAGCTGGCACATGAGAGGGCACCTATCTATGGCCCTTTCAGGCTCTGCCTCCTGCCCTCACTATACTGCTGCTCCTAATTTTTTTTTGCCTGTTTTCCTCCTCTAAACCTAAGTGCGTCTTATAATCCAGTGTGTCTTATGGAGCGAAAAATACGGTATGTATGCAGCAAGACCGCGAGAACCCCAAAACTAGTATTAATGCTTAAGACACATATAGAGAATATATATTCCAAGAGAAACTGGCCACAGAGTATGGCATTACTAGGGGACAGACTAACTTGCTATAAAGCAGTATTAGCTGGCTTTTCTTACAGTTCTCACTTGTATGATCACACACAACTCATTACATTTCCTGCCCCTTCATCCATAGTGGATCTTCATCCACATCAATATGCATTATCCACATTTGCTCTCTTCTTTAATGTATACTAATATATGATATTTGATTCATGGCGTAGTGCTATGGATTTTTACTAGGGTTTAATCTGAGCTATGCTGTCTTAGTAGGGGCTTGTTCCCTAATAAAAATATATAGGAACTTTGCTTTCCTATATCTTTATTTATGAAGATGACTCTATAATTATAAATATTTCCCAATGAATTTTGCATTAACATCTTCCCTCAGTATCTCCAAAGGCTGGCATTTCAGTATCCCAAACCACTAATTACAACCCAAGTAAAAATTAAAGTAGATGGCTGCGATATAAGGAAAAAATGCAATTCTTCATTGCTCTTTTCTACAGATAGATTTATTTTGTAATCCATTGCTCAATGAAAGGAGATTGACCTATGTTCAGGAATCAAATCTTAGGCTAAAATCCAGCAAATTTCTTCCAGTCCAGTGCATACAAGAGTTCCTGCCCCATAAATCAGCCTGACAGACTTAGCTCCCTCTTCCTATCATGCCCTCTAGCTATTTAGGGTAATTCCTATAATGTCTTGCCCTTGATCATGCAAGCTTGGATTTGTGGGAGTTGCAGTTCTAGAAAGCCACAGGTTGCCTTTCTTATTCCTTATCTATCTCTCATTCTATCACCATGAGAGACAGATGGAGCTAGGTAGAAACTGACTAAATGTGTCAACTCATAAAACATTTCTATGGCCGTTTTATAGTTGCCAACAGAAAGGGAGGTAATCTCACTCTCAGTATTCATTTTTCCTGACATAGTAGTTCCTCCTTTTTACTTCCCTTCCTTAGCTGGTCCTTTCAATCAGCTCAGGTCCTCTGAATCAGGCCATCATCACAGCTTCCTTCAAAAGTGAAGTAGCATTGCTGAAACTTTAGGTATTCCGTGAAATGTTATCACAACAAAACAACACAATAAATATCCATGTGTGGACAATATTTTTGAATCTCAGCAGAAAACTCAGAATTAAAAAGTAAACTTAAAATTAGTAGAAAAAAGAGGCAAAACTAGTTAAGTAAATTTTTTAGTACAATACTGATTTTTCTTACCTCAGTTTTTATTTCAGATCGATGAAAAACTTTGGGAAATGGATCACTTGTGAACAATGGCATTGTCACCCTGGCATTGCTAGTATCATGTTCCTGCCACAGATAAAGAGATGACATGTTTGAATCTTACTTATCCAAACCATGATGGTTAGTACTGACTAGGACAAGAGCATCAAACCTTGGCAATTTTAAGACTTGTAGACTTCAATTCTCAGAATTCCCATCAGCTTGGCTGTCTGGGGAATTCTGGGAGTTAAAATCCAAAAGTTCTAAAATTGCCAAGTTTGGACAAAGCAAAAAGAGTTGGGACTCAGATGATTCAAATTCAATTTTCTTCAGTGAGAATTTAATAAGTCTTAAATAACTCTCATGGCCACTTACAATCTCACTTCCCCCCTGATCAGGAATGGACTACTTATAAAACAAAACTGGCAGCTATTAATAGCCATTAAGCAATAACTTAGTGGCTATGCTTCAGACAGAAAACATTAGATTCACAAAGCAACTTCCATTGGTTCAACAAAACTATCCGTTTCTCTTCCCATCTTCATCTTACATTCATCAAGTCTATTCTACCTAAGAACAACTTAGGAAAGGAGCACCTTAATGGGAAAAAATTGTTATACAAAATATTCCAAAGTCAATAATATGCACCATCTAAAGAAATCCTGGGCAGCGAAGATAATACCAATCTCTGTTATAAAGCTTGGAAAGATATGTCACTGTAAATGGTAGCAAGAGACCAATCATATGGTTTAGTAGATTCTGTAGATCCAGTGGCCAGATCTTGAAAAATTCTTACTACCAACCCAGACTGAATTATAAATTAAACAAAAATGAGAAAGCACGAAAATTTAGATGTTCAAGAAATGTCATGATTGCATGACTTTCATGGATATCATTTTACTTTACTTATTTTTAGAGCATATGGTTCGGTTTTAATATGTCATCAGTCATGTTTGTTTTTATAATAGTTCCTACAAATAAGACGTACAATGATTTTGCTTAAGACTGCTGTGATATGTTGATCATTACAATCCATCTGCTTCCCTGGATCTTCATCAAAATGGACATGGGCACTTTTGAATCTGGATTTCTTTGGAGGAGCTGGTGTCAGAAGTGGAGGAACATCTGGAAAATCTGAGAAACCAAAGAAAATAACACATAAGTAGAAAATTAGTGTTCCAATAGTTTCTTCTTCCAAGGATAGGAAATGAAAAATAAATCCTAAGTAACTGTGGTATTGATTATAACAATATAAAATTAAGAAACAAACATTTTGTACTAAGCCAGCTTTTTATTACATGATTTGTTGAAGAAGCCATAGCCACTTGCTTTAGGATAATAACTGACCATATTTAACAAAACATAATGCCAAAGTTTACACTTTGTACTGAGCAAAATCGTGCTGAACATATTGTGGCTCAGCACAATAAGTGAACTTGGCCAAAGTAATTTTTACTCAGGGTTCTTAATTAACTGGCTGATGTAGGCGTCTCAGAAAGAAAGTTCAAATCGAAGCAAAACAAGTGATATTAGAATGCACTTTGCAAAGATTTAAAGTACATACAATTATATCAAAGGACAATCAGAATGATCAGAGGATTCCGAGATATTCCTTAGGGTGAAAGGTTAGAACATTTGGAACTTGTTAGCTTGAAAATGAAAAGAGCAGAGCAGGGACAGGACTGGGAATATGAAATCATGCATGGGATGAAGAAAGGGGGGTGGATTTTCCTCCCTATCTCAAATGCTACAGCTAAATTACCCAATGAAGATCACTGAAATATAATAATTATCTTCCTTAATAGTTACACATCTTGCTGTTAAATTAATCCCTAAATATTTTACTTTCTTTGTAATCTGAATTCTCTCCATTAACTCTTTTTTTCTGCATTTCTGTGAGATTTTTTTAATAATATCTTAAGTTTTCTCTTTATTTTCAATTCTGCCATTTCACAATATTCCTCTTTTTTTTTTAATTAGCTTAGGCCTGTTTTTAATAGATCCTCCAAAATAAAAACTAAATCATCTGCAAATCTGATGGGACAAAGAAAGTCAACTACCTTGCTATAAAATGTGCTAATACTCCACACAAAATTTAGGACAAGCCATCAATATCGAATATAAGAAGTGATGACTGCTAGAACAGCCAAAAACCCTACACTGTCAATGTAGGAACTATTTTGAGACAAGCTGCATTAAATAGTTCCCTCTTCCACTATTGGCTAAACTAACCCTGTTTCTGCTTTGCTACTTGTCAACGGTATTGAAGAAGTTTCAGCTGCCATCTGCAAAAGGACGACCAACAAAGTGACTAGCTTGGATGCCATCCCAGCTGAAATCTGGAAGCTACTTGAAGCACAAAGAGCAGAATAACTTACAGCGCTCAACAAAATTTAGAAGAAAATCAATCTGGCAGAACTATACAAAATATGAATCAGGAAAGATAAAGGCAAAGTATAGCACTGCTCAAATTACGAGCCAACTTGGCTATTACACCTCACCATGAAATTTTTTGAATATATATTAGATGCACATTTCTGAGATATCCCCATTTTGTCAAATTAGTGTGGCTCTAAGAACAACTTCGGAAAAACTCACAAAATAAATGCTGCTGATCTACTGATAGAGCAATACAAAAAAACCACGCACATCTGGCATTCACAAGCCTAGAAAAAGCATTCAGCCAAATACATATAGATTGTATAATGCATTCAAGATCTACATCTGCTGAACCACAATGTTACCAGTGAGTAACATTGTGGTTCACTTAGTAAGGAATGCTGCCATTAAATGCTTTTATAATCTTTAAATTTAAATGCTTTTATAATCTTCATAGGTGTGTTCCAGGGATCTACCTTCTCACTACTGCTCTTCATTCTCTATACGACACTGTGACCAGATCTTACAACATTAATGGACTTATACATGATGATGTCATGATGAGTAGCAAAATGTAAAGGAACCTGAAATATTAATATAGGAATGAGATATGCATCTAAATGACTTTGAAATAGAGTTCAATATGAAGAATATTTAATATCCTAAATGCAGTTCCCAGACCAATGGTACATTCAAAAAAGGTAGCATCAAATTAAATAAGATACCCATTCAAATACCTGGGGTTATACATACTTCTAAGTGTGACAGGCTACTAGATGACAATAGAAGTAAATGTTGCCTTGATGAAGTGGCCCCAAGTTATTGGTATTCTATGCAACAAGTAAATTTCTCTATGTTGTTCCTGAAATCCAAATCTACTAAATGGTCATCAAACCATTAGCAGTGTACGGTGTAGAAATGTTGACCAGTATCAAATACACACAAACAGGGTTTCCATATTGTACAGATGAGGATGCTACAGTGGTTACTTCCATAGCTAGACTAGACCAAGTGATAAGTAAAGATGTATTTCTTGCTGAGAAAATGCAAGAATCACATCTGCAGTGGTGATGGCCAGGTACTACGGTATATAGCAGTAACACTACCATTGCAAGAACAGCTCTAGAATTACATGCATAAAGTCATCAGCTAAAGGAATGACTCAAAAAACTCGGGCTCAATCAACCAAAAGACTACATGTACCTTGTGAAGTTCAATTGTAAAAATGCTTATACAGGGTGAAATGGCAAGCACAGGTTAAATCAAACAGACTCTTCAACTAAGAAGATAAATGTGAAGAAGAAGAAAGAAGTCTGATGCTAGAATATAGCAGAGTTGGATGATTCTAGATTAGTTTAGATTAAACTACATATGGAATTTGATCATATCAAATGTAGAATGGACCACATTAGACTGCTATGAAATTATAACAATTGTAACAAATAAGATACACATTTTTTGGCTATATCCATTTTTAACATTGCCAATAATCTGCATAAAATAATTTGAAAGGAACATACCATCCAGCATCACCACATCCCTGCTGAACGGCAATGAGCATCTGTCATCATTGTCTCTGTCCACATCTCCTCTTCTTTTATCCACTTTCTTTACTACTTTAACTCCTGGGGAAGATTTAGTCTCCAGGAACTGATTTTGGAACCTCAGCAGATCTTCTTCTGACTCTCCAGGCTTAGGCCTCGACAACATCCTTCTTATATGTTTCTGCTTCTGTTTAAAAAAGAATACGTGGCATACCTAAGGCAAATAGTGAAAGAAAGAAAAATGAAAAATGTCATTTTTTGGAAATGTAGGAAAACAAGCTTACAAGTTATCTGAATTCTATATCCCATCATTATTGCCACACCCAGAATATAATACCCAATTTTAGGAGTGCTAAAGGACCATCATAGATGAAGTGTTAATCCAGCTATTTAGAATGAAAGAATGCAACAAGCATTGCAATAAGTACTTTCTGTAAGTTACAATGACATTCTCTACCAAGGGATGCGGGAAGGAGTGAATGGAGCAAGTTTATTTTTCAGCCGGGGTTGCTATTTCGGGATAGCAACAAAAATACGACTGGGTCCTTTTTTCGTGAGCCTCCTTCTAAACCAAGGGTCTCCAGCCTTGGCAACTTTAAGCCTGGCGGACTTCAACTCCCAGAATTCCCCAGCCGGCTTCTGGGAGTTGAAATCCGCCAGGCTTTAAAGTAGCCAAGGTTGGAGACCCTTGCTCTAAAGAAAGGAACGGGATTCCTTGGAATCAAAGGAAACCTTCGCTCCATCCAGAATAACTACGCGAGTCAATTTTTAGAGACTCAACCTACCTTGCTTCAACCTACAAAAACCCTCTTAAGATTACCCGCCCGGATTTTCCCGGGCCCGTCCGCCCTTCGCCGTTCTCACGCTCTGAGCCGCTAGAAACCAAAATTACAGGCGCAAGAAGTACGTCATCTTAAGGCGCGAGCAAGTCAGGGAAAAAAACGGGGGAGGCGGTGCTCTCAGGGGAGGTCCCTTGAGAAGAATGCCACGCCCCTCGGCTCTCTCGTGATTGGAAGGAGAGGGGAGGAATCTGTTGCTGATCGAAGGGCGCACGTGGCGTTTTTGTGATTGCTAGTGTCGTCTGTTTACTTATGCTTGGGAGATCATTTTTGTGGGGTGGGGGATCATTCCGCAAGCGTCCGGCTCAAATTTCTTAAAGAATACTGATTTCTGACAGCAGAGGTTTAAAAAGAGTTTAGCAAGGGCAAAATTTCATATCACCATCTGGGACTTCTTATAGCAAGTACTTCTTGGGGTTAAAAACTTGTCTTCATAGCAAATACAGACTTATTGGGATGCAGTCTTTATCAAGTTTATCCAGGATAGAGGCTTTGAATTTCAGAGCAAAAATCACTTTAAAGGCAAAGATCTGAAACGATACTTCAGGGATACCTCTCCTTACTTTGATGGGTGAAGGTGAGTTTAGGAGGAAGAAATTAAAATGAAATTTGACTCCAGTTGCCTATCATTCATATTGAATTTGTAATCTTATCAAAGGGTGCCAAAAAGAAAAGAGCAATCCACTGCAAAACTCACTACTGATGTTTTTAAATCAATAAGGATGAGAAGCCAAGTGTCATTCAAGAAAAATCACTTTGTAAACTGATGCTGTGTTGGTATCTGGAAAATTATGCTGATTTATGGGTATTGCATTTTAGGAAGGACATTGGTAAATAGGCATGTCCAGAGGAGAGCAACTAAGAAGATAAGTGTTTGGAGCCACCAAGTATATATGTGTCGGAGAAGAGAAGACTGTTGCAAGATATAATTCCTCATATTTTATGGAACTAAGCGCAAACAAAATATTGGCTGAGCTTGTCCCAAAGGTGCTTTTCCAAAAAGCAACTGGGCTTCCTTGGTTTTTTTCTTTGAAAATGTTTCGCTTCTTCATCCAAGAAGCTTCTTCAGTGAGAACTGAGGAAACTTCTTGGACGAGAAGCAAAATCTTTTCAAAGAAAAAAAAGCAGGGAAATCCAGTTGCCTTTTGGAAAAGCACCTTTGGGACAACTATGACCGGGATAATTGAGAATCGTCATAGACATCTGTTGAACTTCAAAAACATAATATACAAATGCTTTTAGTTTTTCAGATATTTTGTATTTTATCTTCCTATTAATAATTCAACCCATAACACTGATGATTTGGTTGCATAATGTAAGCCTCCATATGTGTGTGTGTATAGCCGAGATAAAGCCAACGAAATAAATCATTTCCCCCAATTTGTGCTCTCAAATTCCCAGATAGCACAACCTCAATACTTCTACCAGAAATCAGGAAGGCAAAACTGGATTAAATATAATTTTCACCACTTGATTCATGCAAAAAGAAAGTATATTTTAGTGTGTATCTTATATATTAATTTGTCAGTACAACGCACATGCCTCCTGATAGGATATAGGCAACAGTATGTTAATATGCAAGACAGTCTTTAGACTAGAGACTTTAAGGCTTCCTTAACTTAGTGTGCTTGGGGTAAAACTGGGCTGTGATTGTACTTGTGTCATAGTAGCCAAAACATACCAAAACTGAATGGTGCTGACTTTACTATTAGCATGGAATATTGCATGTGGCATGACTACAACTGAGATTGGTTGCATAGTCTACACTTTTATCTATCTTACCAAAAAAAAAACCTACAGCCTTGGTTGACCAAATCCATGATTGGAAACAGGTCAATATTTGGGTCCAACTGGAGATAGAGGGCATATGGAGGATTACGAGTATGAGAAAATTGTAAGGAACCTAAATTAACAAATGTATTAGAGAATGCAAAATAACTATGTGGTGTGCTTATGCAATTAAAAATGATCAAATATTCTGGAGTAGAGATGATGAATATAACACATGAATTGAACATACTCAATTTAGATAGGAAATAAAATGATAAAATGAATCAGAAAATTTCAATTACTATCACCTAATTTTTTGTGAGTGTAGTTAAAAGTAGGATTTCATAGAGTGTGTTAATTGCATGACTGAAGATAATTCGGGTGATAAGCATTGATTACAACATTACAGCTGGTATTATAAACTAAAATATTTCGGTTAAATGAGAATCATAAAATTCAAAGGATCATTCAGCTCAATGCAGGGTCTAAATTAAAAGGATCCACAATAACCATGATAATTGTTTGAAATATCCAGTGAAGAAGAATCTCGATCTCTGTAGTCACTACGTGCTACCATATCAGGAAATTATTAATAACAATCCATTGTTATATACTTCCTGTAATTTAAAGACCATTATTCATATTCTTCCCTCTGAAATGACAAAGATCTTAATGTGACAATCTTTCAAATATTTACTGATCTGATTTAATCCTGTTTTTCAGCATAGTATGAACCTGTTCTAGTTCCGATCCTTTGCTTCCCCAAAACTGAATGTAATCTTTGAAGTACAATCCGAAAGGGGGAAAGGTAGACCTCTTATTTCTCATAATTTGGATGCTGTGTTTTGCTGATGTGACCTACATTTTCATAAGCCGTTTTGCTAACCTCTTCCCTTTCTGATTAATTTGAAAGTAACTGCCATTTCAAAACAGTTTTCATAGGTACTACTGTTAACCTATACCTGTACGTCTGATTTTCTTTCCTAAGTACAGAACTTTACATTTATACCTGTTCAACTTCTCTGATTTCCAGCTCATTTGTTTAACCTGTCAAGATTATTTCTGCCTTCTAATACATTTGCCTTCCAGCCAATTGCAGATGACTCAAAAAGGAGCAAACTGATGTCAACTGCAAATTTATGCTGGGAACAGGCTAAAGGAAAGTTTTCTGCTTTCTGTTGTCTGCAAATGGGGAAAAATATATTTGAGGTGAAGAACCACTGAGAACAAAGGTGGTACTCAGCAGGTTCTGACCAGTTCTGGAAATCCGGTAGTGGAAATTTTTAGTAGTTCGGCGAACCAGCAAATACCACCTCTGATTGGCCCCACCCCCATCTATTATCTGCCTCCTGAGTCCCAGCTGATCGGCTGGGTCTTCTTTTGTTGCCCTGCACAGGAGAATGGAGCTGGAAAGCAGGTTAGTGGGATGGGGAGGGAATGGAGATTTTGCAGTATCCCTCCCCTGGATAAGGTGGGAATGGAGATTTTGCAGTCTCCCTCCCCTGGAGTGGGGTCGGAATGGAGATTTTACAGTATCCTTCCACTGCCATGCCCAGCAAGCCACACCCAGCGAACCAATAGTAAAAAAATTTGAATCCCACCACTGATTGAGAATGTCTGTGAAGATTTTCAGTCATCTAGGCCATCCAGCTTTGTCCCAAAGGTGCTTTTTCAAGAGGCAACTGGGCTTTCTTGTTTTTCTTTCAAGACATTTCACTTCTCATCTTCAAAGAAAAACAGGAAAGTCCAGTTGCTTTCTGAAAAAGCACCTTTGGGACAATCACTGATAATTGTTTTTTAATCTGTAAGTAGTAAAACTGACAAATGTGATTTTGGACATTAATGGCAAAATATGATGTATTCAAAATAGCTTTCTGAGCTTTATATAAAGTCATATCTTCTAGTTTGCACCAGTGTATATTTAAAAAAAAAACTAAAAGAGCAATGTACAACAACGAGAACACTATTAATCAAAAAGGGAACACAAACATTTCTGACGCTTGTGAAAAGATTGAAGTATGTTTATTTTGGATCCTTCTTTAATCCCTCATCCAGTAAATGGCCTGGGGTAGGCATAAGAGCATCCCAGAACTTGGTTCAGCACAATGAAGAAGCAAAAAGAGCTACATTTGCTAAAAATACAATAGCAGTACAACAGTATCTGTTACTCCAAACCTGCTCAAACCAGCTTAATACAGCTTGCACACAACATTAGCAGCATCTGGAGGAACAAGAAAGAGAACAGTAACAGCAGCTGTTGTCAAGATCAAGTAGAAATAGATAGACTCTTAACTAATGTTGCAGCAAGATATCCTCTTTCTGAAGATGACATTGTATGCATCTACAAAATATTGGACCCAAGTATGAAGCCTGGATTTTTTAAAAAAAAACATTTCCTGGTCAAACCAAAGTACTCTTGAATCATTTTCTGTTCAGTTTCATCATATTTCCAGATATCCAGGTAGATAGTGACCAGTACTGCTTTCTATGATAGAGAAAAGATATTGAGACCTTGGAAAGTGTGCAGAGAAGAGCAACTAAGATGAGAAAGTGTCTGGAGGCTAAATCATATGACAAACAGTAGAGAAACTAGATATATCTACCCCGGAGGTCTCCAAACTTGGCAACTTTAAGACTTATGGACTTCAACTCCCAGAATTCTCCAGCTAGCATAGTTGGCTGGAGAATTCTGGGAGTTGAAGTCCACAAGTCTTAAAAGTTGCCAAGTTTGGAGACACCTGGTCTAGCCTATTGAAGAGAAGGCTTGGGTGGGACATGGTGACTGGCTTCCAGTATTTGAGGGGATGTCACAAAGAAGAGGGGATTGATTTGTTTCCTAAGCACCAAAGGACAGGACAAGAAATAATGGGTGGAAGCTTCTTCAGAGATTAAACACAGAAGTAAGGAGATATTTTCTGTCAATGAGAACAATTAATCAGTGGAATAGCTTGCTTCCTGGGGTTGTGCTCCATCACTGAAGCTGTTCAAAAATACACTGGACAACCATTTGACTAAGATGGTATAAGGCTCCTGCCTTGAGCCAGAGGTTGGAGAAGACCTCCAAGGTCCCTTACAACTTTATGAATTATGATTCTATGAACTGGTTAGCTAAGGTGAATCAAGCTGTACTCCAACAGTTGTTTCCTTTGTTGCTAGTTTTATCACTGCACGTTCTTCAGACCAGCAGTTTGATTATTATTTTTTTATCATTTAGGACCCCTCAGCCCAGCAGTAGTGTTGTTCTCCAGTGCTGAAGCAGGCAGAAAATAGGTTGGCTGAAAAAGTGTGTTGACTGCACTTCCA